TTTTATAAATAAATTATTGAATATTAAATTATAACTTTATTTTTATATTTAATAAATACTTCTCTAATCAATTTTATATTATAAATGAATACTTATGGTTACTTTTTAAAAATTATGTATTTAATATTTAAATTATTAGTTTTCATTTTATTATTTAAAATTTTAAAATTATATCAAGGGATGACAATTTAACTCGAAAATGATGGGTTCTGATTCGACCCGATCCGATAGGGTCAAATTCTTTTTTTTATATAAAAAAAATTGGGTTTAGATCGAGTTGATTTGTATTTTTTAAGAGGATGAGGTCAGGTTGAGTAGGGTGAAGGGTGAAAAAACTTCGACTCAACTCGGTGATAATAATGTAACTTCTTTGGAAAAAGTTTATTATTTTTTAATTAAGTCCTTATTTTATGCAGAGTAAGCTCGGGTTGAGACAAATTTATACTCTAAAAAATCAGGTTAGGTCGGGTCAAATAGATTATATACAATTTTCGGGTTCTAGTGGAGATTACATATTTTCGAGTTGGGTCGGGTAGACCAAAAAATCGACCCTAACCCAACTCGTTATCATCCTTGACACCTAGTGTTTAGTTTTCATTTTATTTTAATACCCGTCGTTAAAAACTAAAGCATTTAATACATAAACTATCAGTTTTAGCCCATTTTAGTACTTAAACTTTCAATCTTTTCAAAACTAAATATTAAATTTTGAACGGAGTATTAAAATCAAACAAAAACTAAAGTTTTTAAAAGCGAAGTACTAAAATGAAACCAAAACTAAACTTTATATACAATTTTTAAAAAAAATTAAAATATTAGATACTAAAACGAACCAAAACTAATAATTTAGGTACTGAACGCATAATTTACCCTTAAAAGAATTATGGTCACAAATTTAACGTGTCTATGTTATATATACATAGTAGTCTTATGGTACACCCATCCTATAGGTCAAAGTAAAAAAAGGCAAAGAAATGTTTAAAAAATAATTATTTATTTGGAGAAAAAAAACTAACAATTATTGAAAAAAAATAAAAATTATTTTAAAAAATTATAAAATTTGTATTCCTTCCTTAAACAATGAGCTTACACACACCAATGAGCTCTTAGATAACATATATGATTATAACTCGCATTTTCACATATGCTTCCACAACCTTTTTTTAAAGACTAATTTCTTAAATTTTACGAATATCATTTTATTATTTAAATTTATTTAATTATTTTTACTCAATTTATAAAATTGACTTAAATCGAATATGTTATTTGAATTTTTATTTTAGTTTAAATTTAATTATTTATAATATCATAGTATTAATTGGTTTCAATTTAAACAATTATCTATAACCATATACGATATATATATTTCTTCGTATTTTTTTCGCATGTGAGTACATTTGTGATGTTTTTTTAATAAACTAAATATCATATAAAATTATATAATAATATTTTTAAAGAATGTAAAATTTGTGATGTTATTTGAAATTATATTCGTATTTTATAGTATTTTATAGTGATAAAGAGACACGTGGTTCTGATTTGATCAAATGAACTTAAAATGAGACATGTGATTCTTTGAGTTTATGGTCAAATCCAACCGAATTATATAATTTTTTTATTAATCCAAGATAAATACGATGTATTATATGTTTAAAGATAAATTTTAATTATTTTATAATAAATACTCATTCTCTTAATATTTTTTATGCTAGGATCTCAGATCTTAAAAAATAATAATAATAATTTATTTATTATATCGAGATCGAATGTTTCGTCCGAGAGTACGTAGGCAATACATCTGCAGGGATGACCTTGTCAAATATCAAACAGGCCCCTGGATTCATCATAGCATGGGCAAGCAAGTCCCTACTTAATCAATTGCCCAAGCAAGTCCCTACTTAATCAACAACGGCAATTTGCAGAATTGGTGTCTTTAATTTCGTTGGATTGATTACCTTGACCCCACGGACACATATGGACTTGTGCCCTGCCCTATGTGTCCTTGTCCTTATCATGCTTAGGTCTCAAATGGTGGCTACGGTAATAATTATATTTTGCAATGTTTAAATTATATAAGTCATAATGTTTCAAATAAAATGTCTTGTAATGACCAAATAAGTAATAATTATATCGACAAAATAAAATAATTTAGTAATTAAAAGATTTATTTTTATTTTTTAAGTATAACTTATAATGTTTCAAATAAAATGCTTTGTAACGATCAAATAAATATAATTATATTAATACGAATGTTTTAGTAATTTAAATTTTTATTCTTTTAAGATTTTAAGTTGGAATACGGTGTATATATAGGGACGCGAAGCGAGGTCAAATCCGCCATTTTGTTGCAGAAGCAAAACCTTAAACCTAAATCCGGACATATAACTAGGCTCGCCCCTTCCATTTCTCCTCGCCTTAAGGAAGTAGTCAAACAGCTTCCTCGTCGACCTCTCACTCTCAGGTTGCTTTTCATCATCTTTATTTCCTGTTGTTTGGATGCTTAGAAATTGAGTTAAGAAGTCACTCCAAGTTAGTTTAATGCTTCTTTGCAGTGTAGTTCAAATTAGCTTTGTTGTTCTTCTCATCTTTTCATTTGTAGCTGCCAAAAAGGACTGAATTTTACTGTGTATTGATATTTCGGTATGCTGTGCTTTGGTTTTAAGTAATGGTGATCGGATTCTTAGCTTAATAGTTGTTGTAAGTAACTTGCAGATCTGTCGTATGTTTTACCATGTTCATATTGGTATATGGAAATATGTGGGATAATTTTGACTGTGTGGAAAATCTTAAAATTTTGCTTGTAAATTTAAGATGATCCGGTGTTGATGTATTTCTGGGTTTTCTATTAGATTCAGCCCATTAGTCTCTAAAATTTCTTATTAAGGCTTGATTTTGTCCCCTAATTCTGTTTACTTACAGGTCATTCACTATCTTGAGCTGTAAGCATGGCAGATGGATCGAAGCGACCATCACTGTTTCAGACAATGCATGGACAGTCCTATTTGATTTCCATGCTTTCTCCTAACTTGCCTGCCAGTAATTATAATGTGACGAGTGGAGGAATTCATGTTGCTTTACAGCCATCACGTCAAGCCACTGGGTTGGCACACGTGTTCCCTGTTTCTCCCGTGTTTGTACATGCTCCGGCTGAGAAAGGTTTTTCTGGTTTTATGGTGGATTTCCTCATGGGAGGAGTTTCTGCGGCCGTTTCCAAGACTGCAGCTGCTCCGATCGAGAGGGTTAAGCTTCTAATCCAAATCAGGATGAGATGATCAAATCCGGGAGGTTGTCTGAACCATACAAGGGAATTACTGACTGCTTTGCCAGGACTATGAAGGATGAAGGTGTCCTTGCCCTCTGGAGAGGCAACACTGCTAATGTTCTCAGATATTTCCCCACCCAGGTTGCTTTTCCTTTCATTTGTTTTCAAGTGCTTTCCATTACTTTTCTGTCATACCTATTGAAGTGGTTTTGTATCTTTTTTACTAACGAAGTTTGTCTGTTATATCCTTGCGCTATCTGCTATCTTAGCGGACCTCATCTTGGGAGTGCACCTAGTACTTGGCATTATTTTACTCGGGCTATCATCTTTTTATGTCTTGCTCCTTACGAAATAAGGGTTCTAACGCTTGAAGTGCACCTTGTACTCTTGGCAACACTGCTTATATGTGTGATGTAGTATTTACTATGTCAGTCTGGTCAAAGGACACTTATCTTCCTCATTTTATGTTCCTGCTTATAGCTTAACTCAGTTATATGTGCCAGGCTCTGAACTTTGCCTTCAAGGATTATTTCAAGAGGATGTTCAACTTCAAGAAGGACAAAGATGGCTACTGGAAATGGTTTGCTGGAAACTTGGCATCCGGCGGTGCTGCTGGTGCTTCATCCCTTCTTTTTGTTTACTCTCTGGATTATGCTCGTACACGTTTGGCTAATGATAACAAGGCTGCTAAGAAGGGTGGTCAGAGGCAGTTTAATGGTTTAGTTGATGTCTATAAGAAAACCATCCAATCTGATGGTATTGCTGGTCTTTACCGTGGATTCAATATCTCATGTGTTGGAATCATTGTCTATCGTGGGCTCTACTTTGGTATGTACGATTCACTGAAGCCTGTTGTTCTGGTTGGTGGGTTGCAGGTATGAATCTGTTTCCTTGGCCCTCGTAGCCATGTCTAAACAGCAACATTACCTGGAGTTTATCAGTTGAAACATGCCTGATTCCGTGTGCATTTGGTATTCACAGGATAGTTTCTTGGCAAGTTTCTTGCTGGGTTGGGGTATCACGATAGGTGCGGGATTGGCATCTTATCCAATCGATACAGTTCGTAGAAGAATGATGATGACCTCTGGAGAAGCAGTCAAATACAAGAGCTCGATGGACGCATTCTCCCAAATCATCAAGAATGAAGGTACCAAATCACTGTTCAAGGGTGCTGGTGCAAACATTCTCCGTGCTGTTGCGGGTGCTGGTGTGCTTGCTGGCTACGACAAGCTGCAAGTCATTTTCTTGGGCAAGAAATACGGATCTGGTGGTGGCGGCTAATGATATCAAACAACAATGGATAGTGATAGATACTGCAGCCTCGATGAATGATTTAGATTCCCAAATTCGAATAGTTTTGGAAGGACATAGTGCTTTCGATAGGTTCCTAGTAATTAAGGATTTAAAATGAAGAAGTTGGTGATGAAAAAAATACTTTAGCTTCGAGTGTTACATGTGTTTAGTTCCAAGATCATGTGCTTTCTTTTTGGATTTGAGAAAAACAATGCCTTTTTTCGAATAAGTGCTTGAAGTTGATTCTGCAGTATGTGAGCTCCATTATCTTCTTGTGATTGTTATTTATTAGAGTCAATTTTTCCTAGTAATCATGCTTATGATAGAGATCCTTGATATAATTTGTTGGTATATGATCGCGATCTAATCTATTGATTGATTAATCCGCCATCTAAATAGTTTTCACAATTGTATCCTAAAAAAATGACAGAAAACAGATCAAAAATGTAAAAAGGAACAAAGTACACATACATTCTTGTGCCTCTCCAGCTCTGGAACACCCTACTGTCCATATGTATTGTACATTGTAAAAACTTCTCTATTTTGATACAAAGAGTGTAAGGTTTGAGATTGAGTCTGAAACTTGTGTTAGATATTACCGCTAAAGGCTGGCTTCGTGAACTAATTAAAGACTAAATTGGGTTCACATTCGAAAACCTTTCGGATTTTCTACATAAAATGACTTAGACCTATCACTAAGAAGAAGGGTTGAAGGAAATGAAGAATATCAACGATCTGTTGCTTTACAAGTTCATGATTGAGCTTACCAACACTGTTTCAACCATTTGATGTCTCTTTTTTTCTTCTTTTGTAGTCTTGAAGCAAACTCTCCCTCTCCGAAGGTGTAGCGGAGAGTACCCACTTACTGAACTCAACCAGTCCCATGCCCTTGATCTGCGCCAGGCAACCATATTGAATCTTTTTCCTGTCTCTACTCGAGGCATCTTTTTCCTCACCATTTGTTTTCCGTTTCCGTGAAGCATTTGCATCTATTCTCGGGTTATTGTCATCAGTAATGAGTAATATTTTCTGGTGTATCCCAGGTCTATTGTTCACAATATCTTCGTTACGATGGGCATATAAGATACCTGAAGATAAAAGAGGGAGAGCATCGATTTTTATTTCCAAAAATCCCTAATTGACGGCAAAAATCTTGGACATGCATTCAAATTGTAACCGGTCAACTATGTAGCATCTTTGGAGTGAACATAAGATAAGCACATTATATCCATTGGCTTGTAAAAACAACACAACAGAACACAGCACCAAGTTGCGTATAAACTGGAAATAAAATCCAACTATAATCAGCTTTGCTCGTCTCTATTCCATGTGAAAAAAAAAGATTAAAAAGAATCGAAATGATCAAATATGAATGGAAGATTAGGCCATTGACCAGGAAACATAATAGTAAAGGAACATACCTAAGTCTTCAAGGACTGGTTTACCAGTAGCAGCAGTCTCTATGGTCCTAAGATGCAAATTCTTGGACACCGATGACAATGTTTCACTTCCTTCCAATGGAGTTGGAAGGACCCCTAGATTGATTGATTCATGCTTATTGGTATGGTGCTCCCGTTGCTTTTCATGTAATTCAAGAATTTCACTAGTGAAAAGTTTATCTGAAAGATCACGAAACAGATTGCAAATTCCAAAAAGCTCGCCTTGGAATTCCTTACAGTCCTGAAAACAAGATGGATGTCACATACATGGAATGTAGAAACTCAGAACTCGGAAAGGATGACTGGGACCATTCCACTTCTAGAATAAAGCCACAAGTTCGGTAGATGCTTTACTTCGTTTATCAAATGGATCTTGTTGATGAGGTAAATTACATCAATGTACAGGTAGATCTAAAACATAATCAGATCACTAAGAGAGTAGTTCAGCCACACACAAAATTCTATATCTATACCTGCACACCTTCAAAGTATCTTTTTTCCATTTTTCCAGAGACAGCTATGTTTGATAGCTGCTGCTTATACACCTGACGTGAATATACAAGCTCCTCAAGGGAACCAGCTGCAAGAAACCGGAAAACCACAACATGCCGCCTCTGCCCAAAACGAAATGATCTGTCCTGGGCCTGTAAATCTTGGGCAGGGTTCCAATTTGGATCAAATATAACCACGCGATTAGCACTTACAAGATTCAATCCAAGCCCACCAGCTCGGGTTGATATAAGGAACACCTGAAACCCAAAGAAAGAATAAAAATGATATGAAGATTCAAATTAAAAACCCTGCTAGAGTTCAAGGTAATTCGAAAAATACTTGTTTGCTTGGACTTGAGTTAAACTCATCAACAAGAGAATGGCGCATGTTAGTTGGAGTAGATCCATCAAGTCTTGAAAAGCAAAAGCCTTTTCGTATAAGAAGCTTTTCCAATATATCAAGCATCCTGACAATTGTTTTTCAATGCAATAAGCAAAAATGACAAAAATGGAGCAAGTGACGGAATAGATGCATGATAAATCATTCAAACTTCAGTCTTCAAGAACCTAACTGTCAACTAAACGAACAAGTTTTGCTATGAAATAGCTAACTTGTACCATCAAAAATTTGAAAAAAGAAGCCCCTTTCATATTCTAATGTTTATAATTCGCATGATATTCTTTTAGCCTATTCCTCATTGAAGATTAAAATTCTTACCTCATTCCCAATTTTGGAAGATGAAATGTTGAAATCAGAAGAGTTTTGGGTCTCTGCAGCTTTTCATAACATTGTACATGAAACAATTTTGACAAGTGGTATTGATTCGATTCAATTCAATCAAAAATAAAAATTACAAAATCATTTTGCAAGTATTGATATTGGAAAGTGTTATCTTCAATTTTCTGCTAAATAAAAATACAGTGACAAATATTATCTTCAGGAAATACATACAAATTATGAGGATTTTGGCCTATCCTAAAGTAATTCACAATGTTTTGAATTTGGCTAGCATATCGAGTAAACACAAGTTATGCCCGTAAAGGTCCAGGTTTCATGGTCTAGTAATCAGACAATCCAAACTAAGCACTGAAGTATGAAATACAAATATTACCTGACAGAGTAGCTAAAAAGAAGGATTTTGTCACCCATCAAAGCCCATGAGGACATTAAATTTTCCAAGGCCTTCATCTTGCCACAATATCTAGTGTCACTTAAATCCATAAAGCTGTTACTTGGGGCAGTCCCTCCCACCGTATCAATATCTGGACCAAAAACAGAAGAGGCAAATTCTGAATCTTTTCTTTGTTTTTCCGGTTCATCCCTTGGATTAGGCTTAATAAGCTCCAAGTGATTACTAATCTGCAATGAAGATCCAAAGGTAAGCACAAGACAGATCCAGAACAATACCAACAATACTTATGTTTGAAGATTATGCAAACTACACTCTTTAATATCTAATGCTCGAAATAAATATCGGATTTCTGATCTTAAATTACAATGTAACGTGTCACTGGACATATTTTTAATAATCTCTCAGTATATGTTTTGAGGAATGCAATGTTCATGGTTTCCAGTCTGAAATCAATTTGATGATATAGCCTATAGAAGAACAGATCCATGAGATAATAAAGAAAACTTCCGGGAGTCTAATACCATGCTTAAATGGAATTTGAAGGAAAATGTATCAGCTATTGATCTGGTACATGTTTTTAGTTAAAGGGTTCCTGTATTGCACTGATGTACAGGCGTTCTCATGGACAAGCATAAAAAATTATGAGAGGGGGCAAAAAAGAGAGAGGAGGAGGAAGTCATTGACCTGTTGCAGCTTGACAAGGCAGGGAAGGACAAGGCAGAAAGGGCATGAATCACAACCCTCTGGGATGTCCCTATGAAGGTAAGGCCATACAATTCCATCAGGCACAGTCCTCTTACAACATTCCCCTTGTTTAAGTGGGCTTCCACAACTACAGGGCAGGTCCTTGTTTATAAGACATTGGATGTCTGGCAGCTGCAACATTCTCTGATACACCCGTTTTTGCAATTCACTCATGGCACAAAATACAACATTATCTTCCTTTCCCAACATATGTTGTCCAATAGTCTCCTCTTTTGTCCTTCTTAGCATATATTTATGAAGGACTGATGCCAGGTGCTGTTTACGCTCATCAGCTACCCGAACAAATCTTTCAGGAGCAGTTGACCTCTGGCCATGCTTGAGGGGTTCATCATAAAGCTCCCGAAAATGTTCCCTTGTTCCCAAGGATCCAGGAGCAACCCAGTCAAAGAGGTTAAAGAGTTCCATAATTTTGTTCTGCATGATGGTTCCTGTAAGACCAATTCGTCTGCAAGTCTTAATCTCTAAACATGCTATATAGAGTTTTGATTTTTCATTTTTTAGGCAGTGTGCTTCATCAACAAACACAATCTCCCACTTGATCTCCGACAAAAGATTGCCATGAATTCTGAACGTGTCAAAACTAGTAACCAGAACTTCAACTCCATTGGCTTGTAGCTTCTCAAGAATTAATTCGCGGCTTGACCCATGGTAAATAAAAACATTAAAGGGTGCCCATTTGGAGAATTCACACTCCCAATTATGGATGACAGAAGTGGGGCAGATTATTAATACAGGTCCTTTTTGTTCAACCTGGTTTTCCTTCACTGGTTTGGAGTCACCATATTCCTCGTCTTTTCCATATACAGCAGCGAGAAATGCGATTGTCTGGATTGTCTTGCCGAGACTTCCCTTTGCAAACATCTCCGGCATTGTCCGGCCACCGGTCTCCGACAAGCGCATTGCACTCCCACAGCGTTCAGTTCACTCAATGCTTCTTTCGTTGCTCGTCGGATTCTTAATTCTAGAGTTGTTGTTCGAAACAACGTTGACTTTATCAACGTTTATGACCCAAAAAATGTTAATTATCATCCAATCTTTAAACTCTCCCAAGCCAATTTCTGTGTGTGTTTAATTTAAATTATCGGACAAAGGTTACCTGAAGAAGCCGCTCTTGGGTTTCCCAGAAAATTCTCGTCTGTTCAACCTGTGTATCATCCTCATCGTCTCCGCCGGCGAAGTCTCCCGGATTCTTGTCGTCGAAATCTTTGCTTTCGTCCATGAACCCAAACATCATATCGGCAAAACTCGCCTCTCCGTCGAGGAACTTATCGATTTCATCGGAATTATGTCGAGTCACGGAGACCTTTTCCATTTCTCCTACCACCGGAAACAAATTATTGCTTTAGGATTTTGGTGCCGACGAGGTTTGGGTTATGGAGACCAAATTTATATAGCAGAAGTTACCTTCAAAGTTCAAACAATAAAACTATAACAAAGAGCGTGTTGGGTCCTACGTGGGGTCCAGCTGTCCTAGGTGGACGAACAAATCTCCGCGGCTATTGAAACGGGTGGGGTCAATGCCTACGTGTCGAGTGATCATTGATTGCTGAGTCGGATCAAACGAAGCATGATACGAATTCAAGACCGAAGAAGCAGTATGGATGTGCTTCGATAATAAAAAAATATTCCAATATTAGCTTTAAAATTTATTTATTTATTTTATTTTTATGATTATTTATTTACGTGAATATTTATTTTTATCCTTAAGATAGGAATCAGATCTCTGATATCTATCAATGTTAGAGTTGTATATTATAGGTAAATGTTATATATGGATTTAAGTTTAGTTTGATATTAATTTGAGTTTAATTATATATATATATATATATCTTTGTATGTTATAATGATCAATTTTAATTATAGTTCACCAAGCAATTTTTACTGTAATTATTATTATGTTTGCTCTTTTTAACAATACTTCTAACACTTCCATACATCATCAAATTAATAATAATAATTCATTGTGGTCGTGGGATCGAGTCCCACGGTGGACAATTCATAATTCTGACTGTCGGAGGTTTTCCACGGAAGCTGCTCTCAACCTTGCGTTGAGGGTAGCCTACTACCTTGCCTCCCCTCACCCTATTACATATGGGAATAGGGTCAGTTAATTTTAATTCCATGAAGATAATTATGCTTTGTCACTTAATGACAAGTTGAATGAAGAAATTGATGAGCCAAGTGAGAATAAATTAGAAAAAGATTAATTTATTATTAATTATAGGTCCAAGGTTGTGTTATTTAAATTAATTAAAACTCAACAACCAACCAGTTTCTTGTATTATTTCTTTGATTAATATGAAGTAAGTACAATGCAATATCTGTTTAAAAATAATTTTCAATTTATTGAGATTGAACGCTCACACCCCTTAACATTCTCGATGCTCGAACCACTTGGCATACAAAATATTATACTAAACAATAGGATAGAGCTTGCAAGCGAATCATGCTTATAAGATCCAAGACAATAAGGATAGAACTTGGCATACAAAATATTATACTAAACAGATTATTAATTATATATTTTCAGGATAATGGTACACATTAGAAACCCATCTTTGGTATGCTTTTACTTTTCTTAAACATTTGAAAAGTATAAATCAACAATGTCAAGAGGCTAATTTGGATAAGATTCAACCTCATGTACTGATAGTTACTTTATTCACACTGTAAAATTACCATTAGGTGTAAATCCAAAATGAACCTCATCTCCTACAATAGGATTCTATGAATTTCTCGGAATGTCCCGGCCCCTTTTTCTTTGCACGAATCACTTACATCATTAGTTAAAGGAATTGTTATTGTTTTTAGAGATCACGGATTCGAGTACCAGCAACCGCAAGGGTAATTGAACATTCATTGTCAAATGATTAAGAGTATTTAGAACATATAAGAGCTTACAGATATTCTTCATCGAGATGTCTTTGGACCCCTTACTGTAAAATGATAACCTAATATTTCTCATGGCCTTTGCCTTTATTAAAAAAACATCGAGGAGTTTAAAGCTCCTACGTCGTCATAAAATAATACACTTTTTCTTCACTGTTCTAGCTTTCTTTATTAGTTATTTTTCCACGTTCGAAGGTGATGGATAGGCTAAGCCAAAGCAGATGAATCCAAAGAAGAGCATATGTATACGGCCGTTGTGTGAATAATTTCAAGCCAAAGTTACAATGGAAAAGGGTCGACGACGACGACGACGATGCATTCAGTTTGTTTTACTTAACTTATATCTGACAGTGGGGAAACCCTAAACCCGACGTAACTTTTCACTAAAATATTATTGCAGCCTGAGGTTTTATAGGCGAAGGAGACAACACCGTCGCTTTTGGTTTGGGGTTTGTTTTGCAGGGTTACAGAGTTATTGTTTGTGTTTCATTTTATGATCTACGAAGGCTAATATTTTCGGGGTTTGTGACCTATCCTTTTCAACAGTGTTGTGTTTAAGGATCGAATCTGTGTTTTCTTCCTAGGAAATTGTTGTGTCTTGCTAATTACACCAAAATTATAATTATGGATCTAAGCAGATTAGATTAACGACATATCAGATTATGCACACAACATAAAGGTGAAAAGTGCATGTAATAAAAAAGAATGTTAAGGACAAGCAAGTTCAGGACGTTGTTGCTTCAAGATGGGATGAGTTTAGCCTTTAGGCACGTTCGGAAGCATAGACGCTCGCTAAATGAAAAAAATGAAGAAACTAAAAAGGAGATGCACCAGCCGGGAATCGAACCCGGGTCTGTACCGTGGCAGGGTACTATTCTACCACTAGACCACTGGTGCTGCACGCTATTGACCTGAAATTTAATTATTTATCTTTATAGAACAGAGAAAAATGACTCTTCAATTAGCAATGTTTACATATTTAAGAGTAAAGTACAAAAATGATCCACCGATTATAGGGTACTACTTTATTAAGTCCCTTGAATATTAAAAATTACAAAATGATCATTTTACATATAAAATATTGCTTTGTTGAGTTCTTAGACTATTAAAAGTTACAAAATGATAACCCAAATATTCATTATGTTCAGAATTCGTCCTTTTCCATTAAAAAAATTGACGATATTCTGAGCTGAACGTTAACATACTGGATGAGATATTATAAAATCTGATCTCAGAATCTCAAACGACTATAATATCTCAGCCAGCATGTTAACGTCCAACTTAGAAAATTCGCTAAATTTTAATGAAAAATGATGAGTTTAGAACATAATAAATAGTCAAGTGATTATGTTATAATTTTTAATCGTCGAGGGACTTAACAGAGTAACATTCTACAGTCGAAGGACCATTTTGTAACGTTTAATAATCGAGAGACTTAATAAAATAGTACCCTATAGTCGATGGACTATTTATGTACTTTACTCTTTAATTAAATATGCAACTAAAATTTTTAGTTAGTTTGATTTTCAATCCAAAAATGTTCAATTTAATGCTTATGATTGTATTAATGATTATAAAATATAATGGTTTTTAATTATAAAAAAAACCAGCAAATGCAAATGGGTTGATAGAACATAGAAATGGAGGATCCAAAATAATGGACCAAAAAAGATCACAAAACTGTCAAATACGAAGCCGCTGGAAAGCACACATCCCAAAGAAAAACCACAGCTCAGATTTGGATCATTTTAATCCCCGATTCCAGATCAGGCTCTCTCTCTCTCTCTCTCTCTGTCTCATCCAAAATTGTTAACTTTAAGGTTCCCCATTGGTGAGTTCGTCTGCAAAGGATTTCATCGGTTGAATTCCTTGGTATTCTCACTGTAAAGTACGGGTTTTTTCTTCTTTTTCCTTTTGAATCTTCATTGGAACATTTTTGGGATTGTGAAGACAATGGGAAGACGATCCGGGCAACAACTGAATCAAGGCACGTTATAGACGAAATTCGGTGCAATGGGCCTGTCTATGTTCTTCGTGATCTGCATTCTCCACTCGGCGATCGCCATAACAAGTGGATCCTTGATAATGTTCTACCTCGACGAGATCAGTGTATTCGGCCACGGTGTCGAAACGGCTCAAAAGCTTTCGGGTTCAACCCCACATGATCAACTGTTGATTCAGACATCCAATTCTTTCGTCGGTTTGCTTCTCTTCGTAGTCGGGTTCTTGTTGTTCATGGTAGCCTTCATCGACGACAAACAGTTCCAGAGCTTTTTCGCCAAAGGATGTGTGCTCCTCCACTTATCGATGGCTCTTTGGAGGGTTAGTTTTGAGAGGAGGTTGGAGGATCTGGCTTGGGATTGGCCCAGACAACTGGTTGGCGATTTCCTGCTGGCTCTTTCTTGGATCTTCTTTTTACTCTATACTTGGAAAGAGAAGTATGATTAGCACCATCATTTACTCTGAATCTCTGCATTTACCCTGAAGTTGGCAAATGCTTTTACATGTAATTTGTTCTGGGGAATGAAATGTAAGTCTACTTACTAGATTAAGCATTCATGAACCAATATTTAAGCTGAATCCTTCATTTCTTTTAATATGTTACATTTGCAGTCGATGTTAATGGGAACAAAGCTAGAGCTGAAAGAAAATTGAAGGGATTAACCAAAGTGTTATGATGGAATTCGTTTTTCGAATGAAACCAACTACCAAAATAGTTGGTCACCGTACTTGCAGAATCAAATACATTCTGCAACAAAAAAGCATAGCAGAAAAATAATGCAGGAGAAAGATGGCAACCATCATTTTGGCGGCTTAACTATAATATAAAGGTCAGATAGTACTTTCATCATCAGAAGTTTCCGAGTTCCCTATCCGGTCAAGGCAACCGACGTCCACGTTTCTGTCTACAATACTCCTTGCTAATCTATCATAAACATCAATCGACAAATGGCCTTTAGCATCCAACAACTCCAACAGCTCTTTAGCCACTTCGAAGTTATTCTCGCGTCCCAAATATTTGAGACAGGCAGCCAAAGTACCAGTGTTAGGTTTCCACCCCGAGCTGCTGGCCGAAATTGCAGCATTCAAGGTTTCGACTGCCTTAGCCATCTGCCCATCCGTTTGATATCAAGTTGCCAGACTATTCAATATAAATGCATCAGGCTCTTTAATGACACCTCTTTCTATCAGTCTCTTTGTACATGCTTCAGCCTTTTCAATATAACCCTTTTTTGCAATATGCACTGATCATCACATACGGTATCCGAGCATCACAAAATGAGCATCCAATCTCCCACTCTGCCAGAACCTTCTCCGCACCATCCAAATCATCCAACTTTACCAATGAGCTTATCATACATAAATAGCCTGAATAAAGAATTTCCTCAAGTTCCTGTACAAGTTCCATATGCGATATACGTCTTCTTTTCTCCCTAAATTGGTATATACCGTGAGGAACACTTCATATGCATGCTTTCTTGATGATTGAGGAACTAGTTACTCTGCTCTACTCAACATTTGTAAATCCTTTTCAGTTAAGTTGGCTTTCAAATACCCATTTGATGCAATAACATAAGCATGTCAATCCATAGAGATTTCAACATCATTCTCTATCCTGCTCAGGAGTTTCTCCATCCCTTCGATATCGTAAGATGAGGCATAAGCATTCAGTCGAATGTTGTTCGTTAAAGCATTATGCTTAATTCCGTTACACGCCATCTCTTGCATAAGAGAATCTAATTTGTCATGTTTTCCTAGGTGATTGTAGAGATTTAACATTACATTATAGGACACTGCAAAATTCGGAAGCTTCGACTCCCTCATGATTCGGAAGGTGTCCCCTGCTTTTTCTAAACATTTGTGATTCCCATAGCAATTTAAAAGGGCACCATGTACCTGGAAAGTTCTCATAGCCTCAGGAAGACTGTTGAAATATTTCTCGGCTTGATCCATGCCGTGCACTTTTGAGAAATCCAGCCTTACAGCCATATCTCCAACTGAAGTATTGTATTTCATTTCTTCGCTCATATACTCCGATACCTGCCAAAGTATCAATTTTTTTAAGATTCAGGTGTCACATGCACATGGGGCAATCTTAGAAAATAAGGATTTTAGCGTCGGAAACTGCGGAGATGCCGGATTATAACTTGGAGCGTAGATTGCTTCTTGGGTTTGCCCTCTTCGAGCCATTTGTTGAGCACAGGGACGACGGAAGATTTGGGATCGCCGGATCGAGAGACGCGAGTGTGGAGAGTATCGGTTGGCTTTGAAGTGGAGGTGTTGGGGCGGCGGAGTGTCTCCGTGGAGTAGGTCATAACTCTCAGAATCCTAAAAATGGAAGAATAGGTCCATCGATTTGATCCAATGAGGAGATCCATCGCTACTCTGAAGAATATGGAAGGTATCTCGACAACAGGGGATCGATTTCGATACTAGTGTTGAAAACTTCAGAGAATGAGTGTTTTAATCAGATTAGGGTTTATGAGAATTGAAAAACCCATGGTTTCAGTGTGGATTTGGCGGGCCTCTTAGAATTGATTTTATAAAAAAAGATGGATCTATTTTAATTAATTAATCCAATAATACGATATTTGTTAAAATGTATAAAAAATTTATCTGTCCAAATAATATTTTTTAATTTAAACTCGTCACATTAATGTGACGAGTTTTAACAAAATATAGTTTTTTTTTTATTAAAACTCGTTATCTCGAGATAACGAGTTCTAAATCACTGTAACAAATGTCGTATATTCCTAAATCGACTTACCAGATTAGCAAGAGTAATTCGATCAATCAACCGTCAAGCATAAGAAGATCGACATACATGTTAATACTTTGTTTAGTTAGATCATGAGTTATAAATTCCATTTTCCAAGAAACACAACACAAAAATCAAATTAAAACTGAAATTCATAAATGTGATGTCTTTGGTTATTCATAGTTTTAAAGGTCGAAATTTAAGTTAGGGATATCGATTGGAATTATATATTTAGTAGATATTTATATTTTTATAAATTCATAGTATGATTCTAAACAATATTTGGATTATAATATTAAAACTAAGGTAAATTATATGAATAACCACTCAATTATGGAGTTGGTGTTAATATGACCCATCATTTTAAAATTTGAGTAAATATGATCCCTCAACTATTTAATAAGTTCTAATATAACCACCTACCGTTTACATTTTAAGGAAGTGCTTATGTGACAGTTAACTAAACTGATATAGATCCTCGATACTTGTATATTTAATCAATTAGATCCTAATTTTAATTTTATTTTATAAATTAACCATCCAATCATGAAGTAATATATGTCAAATACGACCAAGACACGTGTCACATCTGACCTTTCAACTAATGCAAGAGAAAGATGGCAATCGCAATTTTGGAAGTTTAACTAGAATAGAAGGGTCAGGTAGTACTTTCAACCTCAGAAGTTTCCGAGTTCAGGCCTATCCGATCAAGGCAACCGACGTCCACGTTTCCGTCTGCAATACTCCTTACTAATCTATCATAAACATCATTCGACAAATGGCCTTTGGAATTAAACAACTCCAACAGCTCTTTAGCCACTTCTAAGTCATTCTCGCGTTCCAAATATTTGAGACAAGCAGCCAAAGTACCAGTGTTAGGTCTCCACCGCGAGCTGCTCGACGAGATTGCAGCTTTCAAGGTTTCGACTGACTTAGCCATCTGCCCATCCATTTGATATCCAGTTGCCAGACTATTCAATATAAATGCATCATGCTCCTTGATGAAACCTCTTTCTATCAGTCTCTTTGTACATGCTTCAGCCTTTTCAACATAACCCTTTTTGCAATATGCACTTATCAACGCATTCGGAATCCGAGCATCGCAAAATGTGCATACGGTCTCCCACTCCACCAGAACCTTCTCGGCACCATCAAGATCATCCAACTTCACCAATGAGCTTATCATACATAAATAGCCCGAGTTAAAGAATTTCCACATATTCCTATACAAGTTCCATATACGATATACGTCTTCTTTTCTCCCTAGATCGGCATATACCGTGAGCAACACTTCATAAGCATGCTTCCTTGATGACTGAGAAACTAACTGCTCTGCTTTACTCAACATTCGTAAAGCCTTCTCGGTTAACTCGGCTTTCGAGTACACATTCGATGCAATAACATAAACATGCCAGTCCATGGAGATTTTAGCATCCTTCTCTATCGTGGCCAGGAATTTCTCCATCCCCTCGATATAGTTCGACGAAGCATAAACATCCAGCCAAATGATGTTCGTGCCGGCATCAGGTTTCATTCCCTTATCTGTCATCTCTTGCATAAGAGCATTTAACTTGCGACATTTAAATCCTCTACGGTAGAGATCTAACATCACATTATAGGACACTGAGAAAATCGGAAGCCCCGATTCCCTCATGATTTTGAAGGTGTCCTCTGCTTTTTCTAAAATTTCGTGATTTGCAAAATTTGCTGCATTTGCATAGCAATTTAAAAGGGCGCCATGTACCTGGAGAGTTCTCATAGCGTCTGGAAGACTGTTGAAATATTTCTCGGCTTGATCAACGCCGTGCACTTTTGAGATTAAATCCAGCCTTACAGCCATATCTCCAACTGAAATATTGTATTTCATTTCTTCGCTCATATACTCCCATACCTGCCAAACTATCAATTTTTTTAGATTCAGGGATCACGTGAATATGGGGCGATCTTAGAAAATAAGGGTTCCCTACTGCTTCTTATTACATACTAGTGTACCTCGAGGGCGTGCTTGTAGCGTAGGAAATTGAGGAGATGTCGGATTATGACTCGGAGAGTGGATTGCTCCATGGGTTTGCCCCCTTCGAGCCATTGGTTGAGCACAGGGACGACGGAGGCTTTGGGATCGCCGAACAGGGAGACGCGAGTGTGGAGAGTATCCGGTGGCTTTGAAGGGTCGGCGTTGGGGCGGCGGAGAGTCTTCGTGGAGTAGGCCACAACTCTCAGAATCCTAGAAATGGAAGAATATGTCCATGGGTTTGATCCAATGAGGAGATTCATCGCTACACTGAAGAATTTGGAAGGTATTTCGATTAGAGCAGTGTTAAACTTGGAGTGAACGACTGTTTCAATCACATTAGCGTTTATGAGAATTGAAAAGCCCAGGGTTTTAGTGTGGATCTTAGGGGCTCTTAGATTTGATTTCATTCACTTATTTTATTTATTTTGATCGAAATAATAAATTTTATTCAAAACAGTAAATATCTCGAATTATACCATAAAAATTTTGATCATACTGCACATAATTACGACAATTTATTATAATAATTAAAACAAAAATAATAACTTAACATCACATAAGATATTTTATCTCGAATTACAATAAAGACTTTAATAAATACGAATATATATCTTATATTCCTTTAAAGCGGATATATGAATATACACCTTATATGCCTTTAAAGAGAACAAAATTTCTTTTATTATTGAGACATTGGATAGAATTAACATAAAAATTCTTCACCCATTTTACAAGACCATATCGGCGATCAATTTATCTCGGGATCAGGTCCGGATGGAAGTACCGGCTGACCTTTCGGAAGCATTGTTACGAGAGCCGGAAAGCTCGACTCCGACGTATTATCGGCTCGAAATTCAGAAAAACCTGCCGGAGATGAGGGACGTGCATGAAACTGTGAACCTCCCAAGATAACAACAATGGCTAGAACCATCAAGAAATTCATCAACGATCAATTTAAGTTTCCCATTCTTTTAGTACATCGAGTAGAAGAAAGTATAAGGGCTTAAATATATAAGGTTGAGGAGGATTTTCGTGCATGAAAGGTTGGCCGCCGGCTTGTCCACTGGGATTAGGGATGGTAAAAAAACCCGAACCCGACGGGAAAAACCGAAAATCGAATTAAACGGGGACGGGAAAAACCGTTTATGCTAAACGGGGACGGGTTTGGTAATCCCCGCCCCGATTACCTGATTACCCGGCCCAAATACCCGCCCCGATACCCGACCCGATAAATATTAAAAATTATTATTATATATATATAATATTAATAAATTTAAATTAAATTAAAAAAATATATAATATTTATATATTTAATTTAAATATATATATATACCCGGCCCGATACTCGTTTAAATAACCGTTTAGGCTAAACGGGGATACCCGTTTCCCCGCGGATTTTCCCGATTACCCGATGGGGATCTCCGTTTAAATCCCCGCGGTTTTTTAAGCGGGAACGGGTACGATTTTTTTAAACGGGGACGGGGGACCAATACCCGGCCCGTTGCCATCCCTAACTGGGATATTGCACAGCCTGTTCGGGTAATCTTTAGTTGGATGAAGCAAGCCATTGCAGGCTGATTTTGAGGGTTGCTCATTGTTTTTGCTTTAAATATTTTCCGAAATTTCATATGGCCGGCTACTTGTTGCTGCTAAAATGGAAGACCTGGTTCTATTGTTGCCACGGGAAATAGGAGGCAATGTTAACAAAGTTCAAATTATAATGCAATGTTTTATGATAGGTAACATTTCACGTAAAGAACGAATTTTATGTTAAGGATAAACTTCTAAAATTTTAAAATAAGTGAATTTATCTATGTTATCCTACATTGAAGTTGGGTTACACTTGACACCTTATAGACGGGAGAGTTCAGGGAATTTTTAAGAGAGACCAGAATTGAACTTCGAAATTTTGAAGGGTTGAATTGTAATTTCCATTTCGCTAATTAAGAAATTCATAATCTGTAGAGGGATTAGAGTGCAAGATTCTTGATAATATTTTCGAAAAGATGAGGTTTGAATATAAAATAAATATCCAAACTATAGTGATTTTCACAAATAGGTTTCTAAATTATTTTTTGAACGATCATGGTGTCTAACGTTGTCACTTTAGGTGTTCGAACAATCAATGATGTTAATTTCATCCATTAAGTGACATTGTCACAATATGATAATTTTAAAAAATTTATTTAAAAATAAAAAAATAAAATAATATTCGTTTTCTTTTACCTTCGTCGAAACTCCACCCGATCTCACCTCCCCTCGACGAGCAAAACTCCTATGAAATTCTGACCGGTCGACGGTTGATCGACGGAAAATCAATGTTTTATACCCTCGAATCCTAAGATGAAAATCGTGATCCCATGTGATTTCGATGACCAACCGACATCAACTATGACGACGTATGACTAGGAGGATGATAAAAACTAGCGGCGGTGGTCTTGATCGGAAAGAACGACGACAACATATTAAGATTAGGATTTGTGGAATTTGAAGTTTTTTTTGTAATTTAAGAGAAATTAAGATTTTTTTTATAAATATAATATTATTTTTTTAATATTTTTAAAATAAATTTCAAAATTATCATATTGTGACATATGTAATATAACAGATGAAATTAATGTCGTTGACGGTCCATCGACTATAAGACGTTATGTTGTTGAGTCCATTGACTATCAAATATTACAAAATGATTCATTGATTATTAAAAGTTATAAAATGATCACCTAACTATTTGTTACGTTCCAAATTAATTATTTTCTGTTAAAAAATTGACGACAATCTGAGTTAAATGTCAATTTGATTATGAGGTATGTTAAAATATGATCTAAAAACCTCAAACGACTAGCATATCTCAGACAACATATTCATACAACTCATATTATTGTTAATTTCTTAACGGAAATATGATCCTAAATTAAACATACATCTGTGACTGCCATACCTACTACAATCAATATATATATATATATATATATTAGTGGAAAGAGAAGAAGAAATGGCCAAGATGTGTGAACAGAGACGATGCCTACGCAAATGTTCACATGGAAAGTCTAAGCTTTCAGATTGGGACAAACAACGATTTCCATGAAGAATCCTCCTTTGCTGATTGTCTTCACTGCAGCAATTTATGGAGTAACTCGCTCAACTTCAGTTTCTCCCTCCTTGAAATTTGTGCAGACTTTTGCTCTATTCCTAAATCTCTGGGTCTTGGATCAGCCCCCTTGACTCGAGCAAAGAGGGACTAGAATGAATCAATCATAACCATGAGGGTCTAAAATAATAATATTATAACAAGTTATGTCAAAATAACTATATGATTTTATATCAATCATTTTTATAAAATTTATAAAGGTCAACATGATCAAGCTAATCCTTTCCACATTTCATGGATATTACCAAGAAGAAGAATAAATATCAATACCTCTTAGGTCCAATGGTATGTAAGAAATTTAATGTTATTAAAATTAAAGTTTAAATAAAAAATTAATAAATAAAAATAATTCGATTATATTTTTAATATAATCAAATTCATTTGATTATCTAATTTAGAAGTTTTTAGATTAGAAAAAAAAAGTTGGCTAATAATTGTACCTATACGACGTAGTTTCAACGACACCAATTAATACAGTAGTAAAAGACCCCCAACGACTAACCGTCACATGACCATCTGAAGTAAAAGGAACCACACATGAACGACAACAATATTAACGGTCGAATGCCAAATGACCAAATGACCAAAATATCCATACGGCTCCCTCCGGGCACGATCACGCGGAATTAACGCCTTAACCGTCGGTGGACCCGGCAGCCAAAGTGGCACCAGCGTAAATAAATCCAAACCTAGTGGATCCCGTTGTCACAAAAAATATATTAGAAGTTAGAACACTCCGACTCTTTTTTATCTGCTTCATATATGAAGCTCCCCAACGCTGTCTTCAAGACACTCAAATTTTCAATGCTAACAAAATAAACTGTCGGCAGAAACTAGTTTCCACTGTTGTCCTACCTTCTCCCTTCATTTTCGTCAACTTAATCTCCACCGTATAAGGCTGAAAAGCGGTGGCGTCGCCTGTTAACACAATGCAGCGCCGCGGTGAAGTTGGGTTTGTCACGTTATGCTTCATTGTGTTTCTGCAGTGTTTAATGGTGTCTAGTCAGGTCCCGACGCCGCACAAAATGGACCTGCATTGGCATCCAGCCACCGCCACTTGGTACGGAAGTCCTGAAGGCGATGGTAGCGACGGTAAGTGTCCACCACCGGCTGCATTTTAGATCTGTAACTCAAGATTTTGGCTTGAATTTTGCTTTAATAATGGGTGGTTTGTGTTTGGGATATATATTGTGCAGGTGGGGCATGTGGGTATGGTTCACTAGTTGACGTGAAGCCATTTAGGGCAAGAGTTGGAGCGGTGAGCCCGGTGCTGTTCAAGAACGGGGAAGGGTGTGGGTCATGCTTCAAAGTGAAGTGCCTCGACAAGAGCATATGCTCGAGGAGAGCCGTCACCATCATTGTAACCGACGAGTGTCCCGGCGGGTACTGCGCCAATGGCCGCACCCACTTCGACCTAAGTGGCGCCGCCTTTGGCCGTATGGCTATAACCGGTGAGAATTCGCAGCTCAGGAACAGAGGCGAACTTCCAGTTGTTTATAGAAGGTGTGGCTCATTTCTTTCCTTTTATTTACATCCTACACTGTTTTTATTTTGTTTCTAAAATGAAAATTATAGGACCCCGTGTAAATACCCGGGGAAGAACATTGCCTTCCATGTTAATGAAGGCTCCACTGATTACTGGCTATCTCTTCTCGTGGAGTTTGAGGATGGTGATGGAGATGTTGGGTCGATGCACATAAGAGAAGTACGCCCTCTTCACTTTTTCCCATAAATTTTACTCTTTTTATTCACTATTTATTAACCCTAGATTTTGCTTTCATATTTATATGAAAAAATAACATTAACATCAATGTGGTGTGGTGCCCATACATTTAAAAAGGTAATGGCAGAATGTTTATAAGACCCTTTCCTTATTATATTAACCCAGTTAAGAGGTAGGGTATTCCCAATATGTTGGATTTGTCTGCTAAAATAGGTCCCATTAGGCCAACATATATCCCACTTTTACTAAGAAAACATTGCCTTTATGTAAATGGCGCCAAGGTGCAAAATGCTCAAAACCCCACTTTTTTCTTCAATTGTTTACTTGAGTGTTTTCTTGAATCTTGACCCTCCCCTCCATGTGATACTAGGACCCCATTCCCACACTCAAATCTTATACTACGCATGAACCAAGTGACATCAGTAGTAAATAAATTGTTATTTTTCGAAGTCTCAGATTCGATCACTAGGAATACCAAAAGTGTAAGTATTTAGATATTGTCTTATACCTACCCGAAATTAATCAAAAAAAAATCTTACACATTCTTGACGTTTCAACTTGATAAGTTTGATCAAATTGATTTCTGAATAACAAAAAATGTCAATATATATGAATGGATATTGAGAAACTGGATGTTGTTGGCAATGGTAGGCAAATTCTAATGAGTGGATGGAGATGAGCCATGTTTGGGGAGCAAATTGGTGCATTATCAAGGGGCCCTTGAAAGGACCCTTCTCGGTGAAACTAACAACACTATCAACAGGAAGAACACTGTCCGCGAAAGATGTAATTCCCAGAAACTGGTCGCCAAAAGCAACTTACACCACTCGCCTTAACTTCAAGCTGTGAAATTACAGAGCAAAACAGACAATTGGTTCATGACAAAGACTCAAAAGGGCCCTTTACTTTCTTCCTTTTTTCCCAAATAGTTTTCATTTAGTTACTATCTGCAGCGTGATTATAAATCAATGTGGCCCTCTCCAAAGGAGAGAGTGCGTTTAGCATTGTTGTTGCCATTCTTGGTTGAATTTTAATGGAATTTGGTGCATTCAATGTGAAATGCATAGTATTACTACATGTTTACATGTGTTGTCAATTTGTTGCAACAAGTTCCCACCATGTAGGAATCACATTAGTATTTTTTTTTATTCACCTAATTTTTTCGTGCATGAATTAAGTGGTCTCCGTAGTAAATGATTTATTGTTATTCTTAAAAACCCGAGTTTGAACACCATAGATGCAAAGAGTGTAAGCGTTTAATGTTAAAAGATTAAGAGTTATATTTAAACAGATACCGAATTATATTTAAAGAGAATGACTTAAACTCTAAATCTTAAACTTCAAACTTAAGATGGACCCATTATCTTATCTTCATTTGATGTGAATACAACACGTGGAGAAGATCCAATTGAATCTTCATTGAAAGACTTTCATTAAAAAATAAAAAAAAATTATTTTAATGCTAATTAATTAAAGTCAAATAACTTATTAATTTAATCCTAATTATTTTATGAATAACATCAGTCTTAGGATTCAGTAGTATTTTATGCATTTTCATATATATATATATATATATATATATATATATATTCATTTTGATTATAAAAATAAAAAAAAATCATTTTACAGATAAATTAAAATTAAATTTAGGGTAAATTACACATATAATATCTAAAGTATTAGTTTTAATCCAATTTAATACCTAAACTTTCAATTATTTAAAATCATATATAATGTTTAGTTTTTGTTTTATTTTAATACCCATGGTTAAAAAATTAACACGTATATTACCTAAACTATCAGTTTTTGTCTGTTTTAGTACTTTAACTTTCAATTTTTTTCAAAACTTAACATGAAATTTTGAACAAGGATACTAAAATGAAACAAAACTAAATTTTAGATATGATTTTGAAAAAATTAAAAGTTTAAGTACTAAAACGGACCGAAAACTAATAATTTAAATACTAATCACATAACTGAACTTTAAATTTTATTAACTCTGAATTTGTTCCTACTTTTCAGTATCAAGCTTCAACATTGGAGCTCTTGTTTTAACGCAATAAAACTTAAAAATATAAAATTGACAAATTCTCCGTATGATATAACATGAGAAAAAAAAATACCATAGAATCTTTAAGCTACTGTTCATCAATGCTTATGTAGCAGAAGCTCCTTCTCCTTCTTGAGAGCCATGAATTTGGCTGCTATGTCTTCATACTCCGGCAGCTTCGGATGGACATGGTTAGCGTTGTGAACGGATAATGAATTCGACCGAGCGCCGCTGTGCCTGTGTACCTCTCTCGGCCTTTCTTGCGACATTGTTGCGGCCCTCAAATATGGACCGGCCGTTCCTTTTCTCGTCTCGGAACCACCCACGGTTTCCTTTTGCATCCTCGGACCATTGTCGTAGTTTCTTCTCTTCGGATTCCGGCAATGGCAAAACTTGTCATCCGGAGTTTCTTCCACAACACAAACCGGAAACTGCCCTGAGTTTTTAACAATTTGGCGAGGTTGTTTAGGCCTCTTCAGAACATAAGTTGCTTCTTTAGTTTCTGCTAGTGTTTCCTTGTTGTGGAGCTTTCTGCCGTGATGAGATTTATGCTTGTGATTCTCGTAATAAATCTCGTGATCGATGTCCTTCATGCTTGAACGTTCAATGCAGAACGACCTCCGCCTTGATTTGTTCGACAGCTTCGGCTTCTCATTATCCATTTTGCCGTCACCGTCCGTGCCGCCAACCACTGCTCTTGTAGGCAGGCTGAGTGACTTGAACTTGAATAGTCTCTGGTCCTGGCAATCTGCTTCTTTTCTCATGGAAGAGTGTAACTCTTCTATGTCATCAAGATAGACAACTACTTCCTCGGAGAACCGAGGCATGCTTTCCGAGGAAGATGTTGCTTTCCGGTCGATGTTCCGGCCTCGATCATTCGGACAATAAGCTGTCGGTTGAAATTGCAATGGATCAACTTGTATGGATTTGCCTTCCATTTCACTCCCATCTGAACCCTGCATTTGGGGAATTCTTTGTTTCACTAATGGTCACATTAGCATGTAGGACTTCATCAAAAACTAGTTACCTGGCGTTGCAGACCGGAGAAGTATTCAAGTGCCAAAATTTCAGGCTGTAAGCAGTAATCTCGAGTTATTTCATCTATCAATCGGAACTTCGAATCATCGGAAACCGACTTTACGGACAGCTTCTCTTGTATCTACAGCCGGAATGTATCAAATGTTTTTGCATCAATAATCAATGGATGATAAAAAGCAAGAAAAATCAACAATTAGGATACCAAATGTGCAACCTCACGGTTCACCAGATTCCCAGGAAGCAATTCAACAGCCGCCGTCGCAAACCGATGCCCGTAACGCTCCCTGAAGAGCTTCCGAATCTCGGTGAGCTCGGGAAGTTCGGCACATCTTGCAGAGGCGAATATAAGGCTAGAAACTGCTTCATTGATGTCATCAGGGCAGTCCCTAAAACACCATAATTGTTCATAGTCAGATCAGAAACATGAATCGATTGTGAAAAGGAAAAGCGTTGTTAAGAGGGAAAAAGTACTTGTATCTCCGAATATAAGTCAATTGAATGTTGATAAATTCACAGAACTGATCCAACATATCATAGACTGCCATTAGATCCTCATCATTAAGAAGCTGCTCAGCCTGAAAACGGAAGTGTTCAAAATCAACACTCAAAAACAGAGGCGAATAACTAGAATTAACAAATCTAGTCTCCTTTACCCGATTAAAAGCAGCTTCTTCATGGCCAAGTTTAATGAGCTGAGCAAGATCCTCCCTGAGCTGCTTCACAATCGTAAACCTCTTGTTCTTCAAGAGCTTCAAGCGACACTGAACACGCTTGATAAGCTTTTTACTGCAAATGCAAAAAAACCAATAAAACACCGTATCCAGTAAGCTTCTTCTTCCTTCTTTTTCCCTAAAGACCATTACCATTTTGAAGCTTTCCTCCAGCCGAAAAAGATGTCAAACATGCTTCGAGAAGTATATGTAGATAATCCTTTAATGTGTTGAGACAGAGAGAGAAACAAGCACTGAAAGTGAAAACTAAACCTTGAGCTTCTGGTTCATGATGATTAGCTATGGGGGAATTGGTTCATGAATGGATGATTGATTGGTGGTTTTGGGTGTTAATAGTTAGGAGGAGTGGGTTTGAAAAGTGATGAAAGTGGGTGCAGAGTGCAGACAGTTCAAGTCTCTGGAGAAAAAAGGGGGTAAATTTGGCCAGTAAGTAAACTATTATTTTTTTGTCCGTTTTAGTACTTATATTTTTAATTTTTTTAAAATTGTATCTACTATTTAGTTTTTTGTTTCATTTTAATACTATCAGTTTTTATCCGTTTTAGAACTTAAACTTTTAATTTATTTCAAAACTTAACGTTAAATTTTTAACATAGTGCTAAAAATGAAATAAAAACTAAATATTAGGTATGATTTTGAAAACAATTTAAAGTAAGTACTAAATCAAAATTGATAGTTTAAGTATTAAATACATAATTTACCCAAAAAAAAAGAAAGAAACTGTTTCCACCAGTACACTTGGCATGTGTCGCTGTTTAATCGTAAAGATTACAGGGTTTAAGCAATTGTAGTCTAATTTGGAGAAGAAATGCCACGTGTCATTCCTTATGAAACAACAAAGGACAAGAACGGAAACCTTAAGCACTGTGGGTTATTGAGGAATAAAGTGGAGGGGAGAAAGTACAAAATAAACAAGAAGGGGTTGGAGAGAGTCAAAGAAATAGGTAATCAAACCCACCACCTTATTTAAAAGCTTTATCATTGCTGCCGCCGCCAAGCATGCAAATGTTGTGCACAAGGCACAGTGGCCAGTGGGGTCATTGCTTAAACCCATGTATAGGAATGGATTAGAGAGGCTATTCATCAATTATAAGATGATTTAAATAATAATCAAAGTCTGAATTGTATTATCATAAATGTAATAAATTGTTTTTGTTGATAGGCGACGGGAATCAATTTGGATGTTAATTGTCGATCGTCGATACTTTTTATTATTCTTTTATTTTTTTATATTATATATTTTTTTAATTTTAGATAAGTCTATCTGTATAATCCGTTTTCATTTGTCTTTATGGAACGTTTTTTTTGTCATTTGGCTATTGATCTCATGTATCTCTTTTAAGGGTCGATTTGAAATCGTCACGACTGATGATGATGGTATTTATCTGCAGGGACGGACGTAAGATTTTATTTTAGGGGACGAAGTTGAACTTTTAAAATTCCAAGAGGCCGAAATAAATTTTTAATAGAAAATACATAGAAAAAATCTAAAATATATAGTAATTTTAAATTTTCAGGGAGGAGACTACCACACTCGTCCCCTCGGTCAATTCCTATTTATATGTTATCTCGTTGATCTTCCCTATTTTGAACCATCAGATTGGATTTGGATGCCTGATTTATGTTCATGTGTAGCTTTTCACGTTACTCGAGTTTGATTTGTGATTTGTGATTTGTTGATGATTTTTTTAGTAGTTTGATCTTGTTTTGTAGTTCGTTTATTGATGTGATCAAATTGTTATGTTTAGGTCAGAAAGGATTAAGAATTTAGAAGAAGAAGGAAAAGAAATTCAGAATTTTCATTAGATATTTTTTCAAGATTTTCCAGTACACTCCATTCTATTTTATGCTGTACATTGTACCATTTCCGTTACTTCCTCCAACTGCATTGGATTTGCTTACCACCAGATCAGCCTTAGTTAATTCAGTGGGTCAGCTTGCTCTAAGCCCATTTCCTCAACGCTAAGTCATGTGTCGTTTTGACTGCACATTCTTTCAACCGGTTCTTTAATCCCCAATTCTTTAATTTCCACATCTTTTAGCCCTAATTTCATCGTACTCACTTCCAATTCCTTTTCTATTTTCGATTTCTCCGTCCCAACCATGACATTACCCTCCCCAACAGCAGATCCTTGACCCCAAGGATCGAAATCAAGAAATTGAGATTTCAAGGCGGAATAATCCTCCCAAGTTGCATTCTCCGGTGACAAATTCGACCACTGAATAAGCAACTGATTCACCGGTCGATTTTGACGCTTCACACTCCGTTTGTCAAGAACAATAGCTGGATAAATTTTCAATTGTCCATCATCCCCTACCTCTGGAGGATCGAGAGAGGTAAGCATATTCGACCCAATCTTTTTCTTTAATAAACTCACATGAAAAACTGGGTGAATTTTGGAATGTGGAGGTAATCGAAGTCTGTAAACAACTAAACCAATTTTTTCAATGATTTTGTAAGGACCAAAATATCTGGCAGAAAGCTTCAAGTTCTTTCTCAGGGCCAATGAAGTTTGTCTATACGGTTGTAATTTCAGGTAAACATCATCTCCCACATGGAATTCTCATTCAGTACGATGTTTATCTGATTTCTGTTTCATTCGATTCTGAGCTAGCAATAAATTCTCCTTTAAAATTCTATTCAATTATGTTCTGTGTTGCATGATCTCATGAACTGTTTGTACTGGAGTAGTAGTCTGTTGTTGTAATAATGGGGCTTCATAGCCATATAGTGCTTGAAATGGTATTGTGCCAATAGCAGTGTAGAAATTGGTGTTGTACCACCACTCTGCCTGAGGTAGCCACCTCGCCAATTCTTTTGGCTTCAAAAAACATAGACTGCGTAGGTACTGCTCCAAGCACTGATTAACTCTTTCCGTTTGGCCATCTGTTTCCGGATGGAAGGCAGTACTGAATAGGGTAGATGTCCCCAATTGTTTTAGAAACTCTTTCCAAAACAAACTTGTAAATATTTTGTCTCTGTCTGATATTGCAATTTGAGGCTGACCATGAAGTCGATAAATGTTATCTAGAAATTTTCGAGCCACTTCCACAGCAGTATATGGATGAGAAAGGGATATAAAGTGACTGTACTTGGTAAATTTATCAACAACCACTAGAATCGTATTAAACTTAGATGAAATAGGTAATCAAACCCACCACCTTATTTAAAAGCTTTATCATTGCTGCCGCCGCCAAGCATGCAAATGTTGTGCACAAGGCACAGTGGCCAGTGGGGTCATTGCTTAAACCCATGTATAGGAATGGATTAGAGAGGCTATTCATCAATTATAAGATGATTTAAATAATAATCAAAGCCTGAATTGTATTATCATAAATGTAATAAATTGTTTTTGTTGATAGGCGACGGGAATCAATTTGGATGTTAGTTGTCGATCGTCGATATTTTTTATTATTCTTTTATTTTTTTTATATTATATATTTTTTTAATTTTAGATAAGTCTATCTGTATAATCCGTTTTTATTTATCTTTATGGAACGTTTTTTTTTTGTCATTTGGCTATTGATCTCATGTATCTCTTTTAAGGGTCGATTTGAAATCGTCACGACTGATGATGATGGTGTTTATCTGCAGGGATGGACGTAAGATTTTATTTTAGGGGACGAAGTTGAACTTTTAAAATTCCAAGAGGCCGAAATAAATTTTTAATAGAAAATACATAGAAAAAATCTAAAATATATATAGTAATTTTAAATTTTCAGGGAGGCGACTACCACACTCGTCCCCTCGGTCAATTCCTATTTATATGTTATCTCGTTGATCTTCCCTATTTTGAACCATCGGATTGGATTCAGATGCCTGATTTATGTTCATGTGTAGCTTTTCACGTTACTCGAGTTTGATTTGCGATTTGTTGATGATTTTTTCAGTAGTTTGATCTTGTTTTGTAGTTCGTTTATCGATGTGATCAAATCTATTTGTATATATTTTTATTCAAGTTTTTTTATTAAGTTTTTAATCTTTCCTTGTATGGTCTTTATATGATCATTAGCGATTAGTTTTTGTCTTAATGATTATTACAAATTATCTTAATTATATACTTAATTTACGTTTATGATTATATATCTTCATTATAATTAAGGATATTTTTTTATTTTTAATAAAATTAACAAATTTTATCAATATATATAATAATAAGTTAAAATGAAAATTTATTTTTATGATAATATTTTATAATATTTTAATTCAAATCAATCTATTAATAAATTTAACTCTCAAAATTATACTAATGGGTCTAAAATAGATATATTTAGGGTTTATGTGGTTTGTTGTCGTATATATTTAGTCCTTATCGAATTTTCTCATCAATTTAACTCTCAAAATTATTTAATTATTGTATCATTTTATATCCTATCATTAACTTAAAACCCTAAATCATAAACCTTAAGTTAAGTCTAGGGTACGTGGTTTAGATGTTATAGGTTATGGTTTAGTGTTTATAATTTAGGGTTTTAAGTTATAGGTAGGGTATATAATGATGCAATTGAGCAATGTAGGGTATAAAATGAAGCAATTGAACAACTTCAAGAGTTAAATTAATGCTAAAATACGATAGGAGCTAAAGTGATAATTGAGTTTATTACAAGGGCAAAAGTTACCCTTATGCTATTGTAATAGTGATCCATTTATCTACGAACATTAATCATATCAATATAGATGATTCGAACACCCCTTATAAACTACATTTATTCGAGTCTAAAATAGTATCAACAGTTCCAAATCAATCAACTTCGTATTTCATTCCTAGATGCATGAAGTTGAAAAGAAAAGTGTTATGAAAAAGAGGAAGGAACATGTCATTAGTGCTAATTCAACGTAGTTGGGGAGGCCATTAACGAGCATTGAGTGACGTGAACGAAAGCTATAATCCTCTTTTTTTCTTTACTCGGGAAACTTTATTGTTAGTATTTAATCCATCAATTTTGATCTGTTTTAGTACTTAAATTTTTATTTTTTCAAAATCATACTTAAACTTTAGTTTTTGTTTCATTTAATATCCCGTTCAAAATTTAACATTAAATTTAAAAGTTTAAGTACTAAAAGCGTTAAGTTTTCAATGACGAGTTGTTAAAATAAAACAAAAACTAAACTCCTATGATTTTGAAAAAATTCAAGTTTAGGTATTAACTTCACCTTCAATCAACAAACTTGCTGGACAACATCCATTCTTTACGATAAAACAAGTGCCAACCAATATTCTCATAAGCTCAAGTACCTATTTAACTCAGAAGAAGGAGGAGGAGGAGGAGGAGGAGGAGGAGGAGGAGGAGCTCAAAATTCCAAGAACTGGAAATGAGGGAGCAATAACAACAACATTAGCCATGTCGAATCCCCCTGAAGTAGTCGAAGTCATGGTGTCGGACCCCAAGTTGCTTTAGCCACGAATCCGCCGCGCTCAAAAGCGACCCCAGCTTCTCTCGGTCGCGTCCGGCATTGCCCGACACCCACACGCCCCCCTGCATCTTGTATGTGGCCAGCCCGAACGGCGGAAGCGAGATGCCGTCATCACCGGCACCCTCCGTATCTGCTTCCGGAATAACATTCATCAGCCAAACCAAACCACTATCAACAAAAGCTTGAAAGAAAAAGATTGAAAATGAGACCTTGGAGTGAAGATGATAGAGTGTGGTAAGTAAGGAAGCATGTGGACAAATCCTTTATGGTCCTCCCCATGGGAATGTGATAAATTGGGTACCTAATGATATTATCAAAACGATGACGAGATTGAGATTTCATGAAAGTTGCTCAATTTTTGCAGAAATTTGATGGTAGGCAGAGAAAGAAAGAGACCAAGCAACTGCCATCCAACTTGCTGGAGAAAGATCAACGCTCCTCAATGACATCAAACCTGGGAATCTTCCACATAATCCATTAATCTGCAACAGGAGAGAATTTGGAGTTGAAAGACAATAATTCCAAAAAAAATTCAAGAACCAGGTTTTTTAGATAAATTATGCGTTTAGTACCTAAACTATTGTTTTGATCCGTTTTAATACTTAAACTTTCAATTCTTTTCAAACCCATACCTAAATTTAGGTTTTTTTACTCATACCTAAAGTTTTTGTTTCGTTTTAGTAACCCTGTTCAAAATTTAACATTAAGTTTTATTTTTTTAAAGTTTATATACTAAAATGGATAAAAATGATAGTTTAGGTACAAGATGCATTAAGTTTTTTAACGAAACGGTATTAAAATGAAACAAAAACTAATCGCTAGGTATGATTTTGAAAAAATTAAAAGTTTAGATACTAAAAAGGAATAAAACTGATAGTTTGAGTACTAAATATGTAGTTTACCCTAATTGTTTTCCTTATTACCTTATCCATGAGCGGCACCCTTCCATAAGGAGTTGATCTCTCGAAATACTGAAAGTAAAGGAAACCCAACCTGCTATCTTGCTCGGAACCGCCGTCCTCCGACGAGCATCCGTCCCACCGCAATAACTTGTCGGTGTCGCTCTCGTCGCTGCTCTCGTCGCTGAAGGAATCCGTCTCTTCCCTGAACAAGTCATCGATCAAACAATTCACACGCCATTAACTTCAGCTGAGAAAAAACATCGATTTACCTTAAGCCGTTGACCGGAGAACTGCTGGTGAAGATTTGCACGGCGGAGAGATACGGGACGTAATATTGAACTAAGGCTTCGTAGTCGTTCAACGTGATCGGAACTCCTGCTCCATACGCACTCCATTCGCCGTAACAATTCCAAAGATCAGATAATGTGAAATACTCCACATTTTCTTTCTCCCGGTGGTTCCATAAACGATTAAGCTTCCTAATTTCACTCTGCAAAATAAAACATTGAAATATTAATCACAAGAACAGAGCATGAAGCCATGAACCCATAATCAAAAAAATGTTTTTTTTCCTCTTTCTTTTCGCTAACCTTGGGAAGGAATCGTGATTTGACTGTTGGTGCTGTGCAATGGAGAAAGCAGTCGAGGTTCGACCGAGTTAACCCGGCGTCGAATCTCATGACTCTGAAGAGAAACACAGAGAACAGAGGAGGACGAAAGGGTAGAAAAACAGGTCGAGATTTGGTAAGAGATAAAAAAAATCAAATCTTCGTCTGACGAGAAATCAGAACGAAGATGAATAAATAAACAAACAAAAAATCTCTGTTTTCGACCAAGTCTTCGTTGGTACTTGACGATGTTGTCTGATTCAACTCTTTCCAGGTCATGCAAAACGCAAAGCCGACTCTGTTCGGATAAAAGCGAAGAAACAGCTTAGAAAAATATAAACTTCAAGTTAATTTCAAAAACCCGGTACTCAAAAACAGCAGGAATTCCGAGAAAACGATGGAAAAAACTTGTAAATTTTCTGGGTAAAAGATTTGATGGATTTTGGTATGTCCTTTGAATAGTATACAAAAAAAATATCTTAATAAGTAGGGAAATTTTAATTAATTTTCTCAGTAAGTATTTAACGATAACTCTTAATCTTTCGACTTTAAATATTTATACTTTTGATATTTATAATGTTTAAACTTAAATCTTACGAAGATCAATTAATTCGTGCAAAAAAAGAAAAATATAACACAAGAATTTTTCAGAGGGCCATATATCCTAATATTACTCTCGTCCAAAAACATTTAACTCCGAAATTATGATGAGATAAAATACTAAAAGGTATAATTGCACTTTAATTAATTACAATATACTGTATTAGTTTAGCTCCAATAAAAGCATTAAATATAAATACCTTTTCTAGGGTGATAATTAAATAATATTTAATTATCATTTTATGTATCAGTTGAGTGAATCCTATCAAATATACAACAAAGGGAAAAGTATAAAAGGTTTAGCTTTATAAATTAAAAATGATAAAATATTTTAAAATAAAATACTAATTATAGTTATAATTAGAAAATTATCTGAGATATTATATATTAATGTAACTTGCAATTTCCTTTCTTTTGATGGTTTTAATAACAACTGATGATACAGTGATTATGAAATAGAATCAGAATTTTAATTATTATTTTATAACTTTCAAAATATTTTTCTTAATTTAATGATTAATAATGTACTTTATCTTATTGTTTTTTAGTCTTTATATAAATATATAAATAAACGATATTTTATTAGGACTTATTCTATGACCTAATTTGAGAAAAATCCTTACACAATCATTAGAATTTTTAAAAAGAAATATTTGTTACACTTTTTATTTTCATATCAACTGTTAAAATATTAATTATAATATTGATATGATATACTTGAAGAGCGAAAGGCTCTTAACCTTGTGGTCGTAGGATCGAGTCCCACGGTGGGCAATTCATAATTCTGATTGCCGGGGGTCTTCCACGGAAGCTGCTCTCAACCTGGCGTTGGGGGCAGCCTACTACCCTACCTCCCCCTTACCCCATTATATATGAGAATAGGGTTAGTCAATTTTATATGATATACTTGACCGAAACCCTTCCAATTAAAACAAAATAAGTGATTAAATTGGGTTGGGAGAGTCGAAACTTGACATTTACGAACGAAATAAATTGGGTTGGGAGAGTTGAAACTTGACATTTACGAACGAAACAAATTGAGTTGGGAGGGTCACACTCATCTCTGTAATACCCGATCTGGATTAGTCGGCCAATAGATTGAATATAAGTGATTAATTAAAAAACTAAATAATTAATATTAAATTGGATTCAATTTTATTAGAAATTCGTTGGAAGATGAGAAGTTGAAGCTTTTATTGTTTGATTTGTGGCAATTGGTTATTAGGCCAAACGTAACCACATTAGGATGAAAGCTGACCGCTGCCACATCCTTCCATCTAATGTCATTGTCATTAATTTGAATTTCGATTTTTTTCTAATTTTTTAAAAATTAGATTAAGTTTTACTCACCCATAAAAATACTATAATTAAAAGAAAATAATTGATGTTTATCTCGTGTTTATAAGACCTACCTTTACTTGGTCTAATCGTCAAGAGGGAAACTAACTTGCTAGGAAACTTGATAGGGTTGTTGCTTCTACTATTTGGATGGCCTGTTCTCCTTGAGCTAGAGTAGAGTTCCTTGCTCCTACTCCTTTCGATCACTGCCTTTATCTGATGCATTTGGAGCTTAATTCTGCCTTGAAAGATGTCTGTTTAGATTGCTTGTGTGATAAGGGATTGTTCTTTTTAGCAGGTTGATGTGTCCCGGGGATGTAGTTGGACTTGGAAGAGTCTATTGCGTGTCAGAGAGCAAGCGGCGTCTATTGAGGTATTGCTTGGGGACTCTTTCTCTTCGGTTATCCATGTTTGGGAGGAAATAAGGCCAAATTTGGGTGAAGTCCATTGGAATAGGTTACTTTGGCATCCGAGACACATTCCTAGGAATTCAGTTATTGCGTGGATGATTGTGCTTGACTGACTTCCCACCTAATGAATGCTTTTGAGTTCGAGATGCATGTAGATGACCTTTGCGTTTTGTGTAAGAAATACTTGGAGACATGAGATCACCTATTCTTCTAGTGTGAATTTTCTAAGCAAGTTTAGGGGAGCGTTTTGCTGTTATGTCAGTCGAATAGAGGGATGATGAGTTGGAGCTCGGAGCTTGCATGGGCATGCGGCGGTTTGAAGAGAAGATCCCTTATATCGATGGTTTTAAAGTTGGCTTGGAATAACTCCATCTCGCTGATATGGAGAGAGATGAATGGCAGATCGTTTAGGAATCGGGAGAGCATTGCAGTAGAGATTGTTGCTCGCGTCAAAGAGACTGTCAAGCTCAGATTGAGAGGTAAGATATACACTAGGATAGGGGTTGTAAGTAAGAGGATTTGTATAGGTTAAAGTCTGCAGGATTAGTGTCCTTGCTTGGGGTTTTGACCATTAAATTATTATTATTATTATTATCAAATTAATTCAACTATGTAAAATAATAATTAATTTTAAATTAGCATAAATTATTTTATCATTTTTAACACGTGATTCCCGGGCAAGCGATCGCTGCTCGAGACATGCCGACGAACGACGATCAAATGAAGCACCCCGAGTTTCTGAAACACGACCGCAGCGTGCTCATTCCGGGCTTCGGACGAGTGCTGCTGCCACCTGTTTTCAAACATCACCATCCACACACCACCAGCAGTGGCGGTCACAGTGGCAGCACAAGCGGTGGAAATAGCCAGATTCCGGGCGGCGACGACACGTTCGCTCCGAACCCTGGTTACAAGGTGCCGATCCCGGGAGGCCGTGGTGGTGCACGTCCTTGACATGCATATTGGCTATGGAACTTTGAATCAATTAGAGAATAAAGGCTACCGGTTATCGAGATTGTGGCTTATGAGTCCCCTAGAAGTTTATATGAATTCGAGTTTGTTGTCATTTTAGTGAAGTCTACTTGTGCTTGCATTTTCCACTAGGAAACCATTGTTAATGCATCTCATTTTCCAAATTTATCAAATGTGGTCTATTATGCTTTATTGTATTTATAATTCGATCCGAGAATAATAATACGATTAATCTTTATATATTTAGAGATAATTGATATAATATTTATTTCTTTATTTTATCTAATAAAAATTAAACATATATTATATATGGTCAAATCAAGTCGAATGTAAGTATTTCACCTTCCTTGGAGTTCTTCAGCTTAATCTAAAGGCCGGGGATTTTGGTTTTCTGTTACCCAAAATGAGAAAGCTATATAGGAAACTCGTGAGGAAAAATGTCAATTCGCATTCGGGAAGGATGTTTAGCGATAGAAAATGGATTATCCCATTTCTTGCAAGCTTATTGGTATCGGTTACATTGTTTGTCTCTGCCATTTTTTGGTTGTACAACGCTCCTAACGGTGGAGATGAGTTGTCGTTTGACATTATTTCCTTTGCTAGAGCAGAGGAGTCTACTGGGTACTTTGTAGAATCAGATTTAAAGAAATCGATCAACACGAGTGGATATTCAAACATGGAACCAGCTAGGCTAGCGTATCTTATTTCGGGGACGAAGGGAGATAGTAATAGAATGACGAAGACCTTGCAGGCAGTGTATCACCCCAGGAATCAGTATGTTCGGCATTTGGATCTCGAGGCTCCGCCGCGAGAAAGGCTGGAATTTAGTAATATGGCAAAGAATGATCCGACTTTTCGTGAAGTTGAGAATGTGCTTGTGATGTCGCAATCGAACTTGGTAACATACAAAGGTCCTACTATGATAGCCTGTACCCTTCAAGCAATTGCAATTCTTTTGAAGGAGAGCTTGGAGTGGGATTGGTTTCTAAACCTGAGTGCCTCTGATTATCCCCTTGTGACTCAAGATGGTTAGTGCTAAGACTTTGGCTCTTTTATCATTTCATGATCAGGGCTGTTCCTTGTTATTGTCATATCTGTTAGGGCTTCTTTTATAGTATAAGGGTTTAGAGAACGATTCCATGCTTGCTACCACCTAATCTTATCGGAATTACTAAGTTCTTGACAGCATTCGAACAGAGTTACATGCTTGTGACCCTCTTGAGCTAAAATGTTTGTGCTCTTTCTAGCATGCTTGCCGAAGAATATCTGATTCGTGTTTTAGTTGTGCAGATTTGCAGCATGTCTTCTCCATTTTGTCGAGAGATCTTAATTTCATTGAGCATACACAGATTGCTGGTTGGGAAGCTATAAGAACTAGCGTAGATGCTATTCTTGAAATATTCCTTTCCTTATGCCTTAATGTCACCCGCTTTCAACGTGTGTTTACGTGCTTTTGCTGTTGATCCAGGCCTTTACTTGTCTAAGAAGTCTGACATTGCTTGGACCACTCAACGCCGATCACTGCCCACATCTTTCAAGTTGTATACAGGTTGGTTTTTGTTCTTTATTGTTTCTTTTCTGAGCACACCGTTGCCGTAATAGTTTCTCGAACCATTGGCCGATTGCTTTCTCGTTGCCACTTTGATTTATGTCACTGACTGTGTTATCTTGAAGTCTCGAATGTTGTTCTATAGTCATGGACCGATAAGGATGGTTGTGTTTCGCCTGCTTATTTCTCAGCCGTGACCTCCATTTCATTGCTTGGGACACTCCTCCGAAGCAACATTCAAAATCCTTGTCAATGGAGGACTTCGACAAAATGGTGAAAAGCAACGCACCCTTCGCCCGGAAGTTCCATAAGAACGATCCAGTCTTGGATAAAATCGATAAAGAGCCTTTGGGCCGCAGCGATCGTTTTGCACTTGGAGCTTGGTGTGTTGGGAGCTCAGAGGGTGGAGCCAACATGTGTTCCGTACGTGGAAATGATTCTGTGTTCGCACCAGGCCCCGGTGCCGGGAGGCTGCAAGAACTGGTTAAAGGTCTGCTATCCGAAGATTTTCGGAAAAAGCATTGTTCTTGATAGTTGTAAAGGGTGTTATAACTCTGAGTGCATTGATTTTTCCACAAGAACCATCCATGGCTCTGTGTTCTTATTTTGGATGATAAAACCGGTTACGATATTTATAATTACAATATATATATATATAGTCTGTAGACGCAGTTACCAGACGTAGTTATTCGAACTTGAATCTTCAAAAGAAAACAGCATTTATTTATATTACTGAAATCGAGTTTTAGAATCTAGGCAGTAAAATTGTTTTCAATGGATTCTTCATGGTCATTACGAACTCTTGCTTTGGTTCGATATCAATGTCTTCCCCGTCAACTTTCTTCCACTCCAAACACCAAACCAAATTCGCCACAAAATACTCCAAATGCAGCATCGCCGTTGCATGTCCCGGGCAGCTTCTTCTTCCCGCACCAAACGGCATCATTTTAATCTCCCTTTTCTCAGTTATAAAATTAATCACGTCACCATTTTCATGGCTAGTTACAAATCTCTCCGGTCTGAAAATGGTGGGATCATCCCACACCTTGGGGTCCATAGTCATGTCGTCGGTCATGAAATAAACCATCATGTTTCTGGGCAATTTAGAGCCATTAAAATCGATGTCCCCCGTAGATAAATGTGGCGTCAGAAAAGTACCTAATGTATGTTTCCTCAAACTTTCTAAGATTACAGCTTTAAGATATGGAATCTTCTGCAATTCTTCTTCGTTCACCAGTTTTGAACCGTCTTTTAATACCCTTTTGATCTCCATGAATAATTTCTCTTGAATGTGTTGATGTTTCTCCAGATTCGCCATCATCCATTGTAGTGTCGAGGTTGTAGCGTGAGTTCCACCGTTGAGGAACTCTGAACATAAACCGGTGAGTTCGTCATTGTCAAGCTTCCGGTTCTCGTCGTCCTGTAGATGTATATCCAACAATTTGTCAATATATGAAGAGCCAAATTTATCATCTTGGGATTCCTTTAACTTAATTCGTTGTTTTATCAATGGCATGAACAATGCCTTTTGTTGTTGTCCCACTTCAAAGGTTTCATCCTAGAGTTTACGGAACACAAACTTCGTCAACCTCGGTCAAATCCAAGTTGCATAAACCATGCTAACTCTGCTAAACTTCGACAACAATCGTTCCACGACATCCTGGATTTCCCTTATTTTTTTATCGTCGAACTCGTCTCCAAATCACATTACAACTAGCAAGCTAAACATTGAGAATTGGAAATGCTCCGGTTCACTTCCGGATTGAAGCCTAAGGCTGCATATGAGCCTTTCCATTGCCCACCGTCGTGCATGCAAGTATGTTTTTGTGAGGTTTCGTCGGAGCAAATGCCATTTGCTGCCGTAGAAAGCGGTGGTGATATGGTTTTGGTTTGAGCCATCGAAAGTGAGTGGACGACTGGCGAAGCTAGCACCTTCTTTAACTAAGGCTTAGTGAGTGAGAAAGCGATGGGCGACAAAGATGTACTTTGGTGATAATGGGACCGAACTTTGCATAAAGAAATCAAATTACAGGGTGAAGATCATTGAAAGATTTTCGAAACAACAGCCAGTTACCGATGACTGGGAAAGGAACGGGACCTGGAGGAAGGTTCGGAGAGTGCTTTGTTGAAAGATAGATGGAGTTGAAAATGTGCTTTAGAAGATAAGAAATGGAGACAAGGAATATTATGATCAAAGCTTCCATGGCAGTGATGATTGTATTGTGAAAATAGGGTATTATGGAATGCATTAATAAGAAAGCAAGAAGATATATATATATATACACACACACACACTCTTACATAGCGTATCTGTGTTTAAAGCTTTAATTTACATAGCGGTTTTCGCCCAAAATAGTAAACTTCAAAGTTCCAACATACTCAAGTGAACTAAGAAACAATTAAGTAAATATAAACCATTCAACAATTTATATGTAAGGAATTAGTAGAAATTATTAATCAAGTGTTTAACTATAACTGGACTAACTTCTCAATTTTCATGAAGTACAAGACAGATTTGTTGGTAATACAGGCAAAGATTGCCGCTGTTTAGATTCATTAGTCAACTAAATTCAACAATAACAATTCAGACCTGTGTCTTCTGTTTTGTCTCTACACTTTCACCTTTACATCATCTTTTAAGTAACTGTCCCTGTCCTGTTAGACAAGACAAAGCATATAGCAGATGCCAAGTTTGGAGTTTCTTTTGATTAATCCAAAGGGAGAAGAAAGAGTAAAATTTAGGAGGCAAGATAGCTATTTCCAGGCCAATATGATGGTCGGATTTGGAGATCAGAGGAGAGTGTGAAGCATTATGTATAAATCTAGGAAAATCGAGACTGATTTTATCAGGCATTCGTTATAATTAGTACATCATATCAGATCAGACATATGCACATATATGTGTGTGTATGCGCGACCGTGTGTGTGCAATAATGATGCTATGAGCCTATGGGCTGATTAACTGATAATAGATCAATTCTTTTTCTTCTCATGAAGGACGTTTAAATAATTGATTGATATGAATGAACAATCTTATACTACAAGGAGCTAGTTGAAATGAATTAAATACCATGTTACAGCTACCAGCAATGCCTGACCTCTTTTAGAATAGTACAAGCATACTTCACCTCAAAATTAGAAGCTTCCAAGGCAGTGAACTCTGGTCGTGGAATACTCGATGGCAATTTATCAATAAAAATTGCACTGCTGCAATAGAGGATGTGTATAATCAACATACTTCTCCCAGAGGGGCTTGTATTTCTCTATCCCAATTTTCAACCATGGCTTTGAATTCCCATTGAAGTGTAGCACAACCCCTTTCTCTAGCAGCTTGGGATCGACATTTGTATAGCCCAACCCCAGAACATGCCACGACGGGTCCAATGCCTCCGTCAATCCATAGAATGTCAGCAATCCGGGTGGCAGTGTCCCAAGTTTCCATAATGTCCTGTCCACATTCCTTTCTTGCCAATAGTGGTAGATGCCAGTCACGTTCCTCTTCCTCCACTCAACCAAATCGAAAACATTCATCCCAAATGCCCAACCACATGCATCGGGATCAAAATGAGCTCTTATAAGAGGGTGAGAGTAATTTAGATATTTATGGTATCTGTGAAATGTCTCCATGCATGTCTCAACTGCTCCGTTGACATTGCCATTCAAATCAATGGAAAATAGACCAGACAAATCCTTCTGAACCACAATGTCATCATCGAGAAATACCACCTTCTTCAGAGCTGGGAAAACTTCAGGAATGTAAAACCGCAAATGGTTAAGCATTGATAGGTACTTAGGATTTTGGAACTTGATTGGAATCCGGCCATCATTATGCCCAGAAAAATAGTAACTCTGAGTCTCAGCATCTTGGAGCTGCTTAAGAACTGGAACATAAGAAGCATTCAGCCACTTGAAGTCATCAAACTTCTGAACCTCAACCGTCGCTCCCCAGAAACTGTTCATGGCAAACCAAGCCTTCATTGCAGCATAGTTTATTTCATCGGTTACAAGATGAAAGACAACCTCATAAGGATTTTTGTAATTTAAAGCTGTTGAGTTAACCACCACAGAACTGGCAAGGATGTTATCAGAGAAGACACAGAAATGATACAGACTGTTATCTCTAAGTTTTGCATCCAATTGCTTTCTTTCCTTCAGTTTCCTTTGTAAATTTGGGTTTCCAAAATATTCAGTAGTCAACCGAACACCGAGACAGTATAGAGTTTTGGGGACTTCTTCAGCGGCTATTTGCCCATATTTTGAACTTTTCTCACTCACTGAACTCATCTGTTCTTCAAGAGCTTGGATTTTGGCTTTCAATCTCATAATCATCGTTGCACTATCATAGTGGAGTTGCTGGGCCTGGTATAGCAAAAGTGCCATATCACGAACTGCAGTCTCTGATTCTCCAACTATCAAAGGAGTTCGCCTAGTCGCAGCATTTGACAGAAGGGTCTGTGAATTACGGATCTGGGCACTTAATTCCCAAGCATATTGGAGATTGTTGCTTTCTTTTGCTATCACAACAAGTGCCTTTGCAATAGAAATTTGGTCGGTAAGTTGCCTTGTGACGGAGTTGGGGCTTAACATTTCATCGGTGATGTTTAGGCCTTCCAAAATTCTGTCATAATGATAAGGTCTCTGCAAACAAGGAATACCAACACAGACAAGTGATACGTGAGAATTATATGGATGAAAAGTGAGTATATCTGAATGACCTGCTTTAGCAATTAAGCATGAATAGATGATAATTGACGTGAAAAAGAGTTTTTGTTATCCTGCTGGCCAAAAACTAACACTCACATGACCAGAACCATTTAGCTATTAAACCGACACCATTTTAGCTAAGTCGATCCATACAAAGTAATGCATCAAACAAAGAACAGATTCTACACAATTATTCCTGACAAAGAATGTCCCGATGAAACATTTGGAATGCTGTAATATATAAACCTCTGAAAATTGAGACACTTCAAAGTAACGTGAGAAACTGCAGTACAGCGCAAGAGATAACCAATGGTTCCAATTATAAGACGCTAAAATTCACCTTAATCATCTAATTTAAACGGTACCCAGAATAGAAATCTGTTCAAATAGGTCCACAAATTACCCAAAATAAATGACAAAAGAGAGTAGATCTTTACCTTAGAAAGAGAGGGTCTAGAATCAATCTGAGCCTCCTTGGTCAAAATCAATATGAAGAAGACTAACACCACAATCCCGCACATTATCCACCACACCACATTGGAAAGCCTCCTCCGCACCGGCCTCCTTAAATCTAATCCTCTCCGCCTCATCTTTCACAACTCCTACCGGTCCCGTTTGCTTCAAGGACAGTAGACAAACAATTCAACCACCACTCTTTTTGCCAGGAATTTTGATGATCCCCAACTTGAAGCAGTTGTCGGTGATCTAAATCGGGAAATGAAAGTGAGAGAGTGGATTGGTTTTGATTTGGAAATTGGAATTAAGGGAAAGGGAAAGCGTGGTGGGCAGTGAAGCAGGAGTCTTACTGAATTTAACACTTGTTTGATGAACGTGTGCTTATGTTGTAATGAAGTGGACACCCGGATTAAGATTGCTCTCTATCGTCCCATCTCATGATTTTCAGATTTCTTTTTTCTATTATATTAAAAATGATTTTTTTAGTTAATAAACGTCGGATAAAATATATAAGAGAAAATCGCCTCAGTGACCAAAAATACCTTATAATATACGATTTTAATCAACTTTTTTTGGATTTACCAAAATGACCAATAAAATCGCAACGCGATATCAAAATCGCAACGCGATTTAGAAAATCGCAACGTTAAAAAGAAAATCGCAACGGTCAAAAGAAAATCGCAACGCGAGCTTCCAAGTTCGCAACGCGATTTAGAAGAAAATCGCAATGCGACTGAGAGAATCGCAATGCGACTGAGAGAATCGCAATGCGATTTATAGAATCGCAACGTTGAAAATAAAATCGCAACGGTCAAAAGAATAGTTAAAAAAATTTTGTTTCTTAAGAATTTTCTCTAAAAAGATAGTATCCGCGCGTACGTGTCGAAGACACGTATTACCACGACCGCGACCGCGACCGCGACCCGAGACGAGACGGCGGCGGCGGCGGCACGCGAGAGTCCCCCTTGTCCTCTTTCACTCAACAAGGAAGTGCAAAATACAAGCCTTAAATATAATTCCCAATAGTGTTTCCAATACTATGTGGGATTGAGCATTACCAACACTTGTTCCCAATATCATTATTCTTCATAAGTTATCATCCATTACAATATGAATTATCGATAATAAATTAATTCATTTTAATAAGTATTTAAAATTATAACTTGATAAATACATGAAATAATTCTATTATTAAATAAAAAATATATTTTTTATATTAAAATTATTGAGATAGATATTTACTATAAAAGTAAAAGATTTTTTTTTCACGTACAACCTCTATGTGAATTAGTTTCACAATAAGGTATCGGTTATGCATTGGATTCTTTCGTATTAGATGGTCTTTAATAAGATCATCATCATCATTCTTTTGTTCAACAATACCATATATTAATGAGGTATATTGGTTCATTAACACGACTAATTCATATTGTAATGGATGATAACTTATGAAGAATAATGATATTTGGAACAAGTGTTGGTAATGCTCAATCCCACATAGTATTGGAAATACTATTGGGAATGGTATTTAAGGCTTGTATTTTGCACTTCCTTGTTGAGTGAAAGAGGACAAGGGGGACTCTCGCGCGCCGCCGCCGCCGCCGTCTCGTCTCGGGTCGGGTCGGGTCGGGTCGGGTCGTGGTCGTGGTCGTGGTCGTGGTCGTGGTCGTGGTCGTGGTCGTGGTCGTGGTAATACGTGTCTTCGACACGTCCGCGCGGATACTATCTTTTTAGAGAAAATTCTTAAGAAACAAATTTTTTTTAACTATTCTTTTGACCGTTGCGATTCTCTCAGTCGCATTGCGATTCTATCAGTCGCGTTGCGATTCTCTCAGTCGCATTGCGATTCTCTCAGTTATAAAATAGAGTCTTTCAACCATTGAAAATAGTTTTTGGTCACTGATGCGATTTTCTCAATATATAAATAGTTTAAAATAGAGTCTTTCAACCATTGAAAGTTATAAAATAGTTTTTCAACTATAAAATATTATTTTTTAAGTCATCTGACTATTAAAAATTATAAAATAGTCATATGATTATTTATTGTGCTCCAAAATTGTCATTTTTCGTTAAAAACTTTATGACAGTTTGATTTGAATGTTAACCTATTGACTAAGATATGATATAATATGAAACATCTCGAATGCTTATCATATATCAGTCAGTATGTTAACGTTTAGCTCAAACTATCATATTTTTTTAACAAATAGGATGAATTTGGAATAAAATGAATAATCAGGTGATCATTTTATAACTTCTAATAGTTAGAGATCTTAAAAAAACAATGTCTTATAGTTATGTGACTATTTTATAACTTTTAATAATCATAGGACTCAATAAAATAATATTTTATAGTCGAGGGATATATTTGTTTACTTTATCCATAAATTTTAAATATTATAAAATAAATAAATATTTAAGTTATTATTATTTTCATTTTATAACAGTTTAATAAATTTAATAATTTTTTAATATTTAAAAAATTGTTGATAATCTCTTTTTTTTTCTCGACCTAATTTTCTTTTAATATTTTTATCGTTTTTTTCTTTTTCTTCAATTATTGTTTAGACGACAGTTACACTAATCTTAATGTTGGTTGTCGACCTTCGTTGATTATTAGTTCTTTTGTTTTTTATACCATGTCTTTTATTTTCTTTTTTCTTGAGTTTTTTTTATTTTTTATTTTTTTGAAAATGAATTTTTGTCCTTGTGACACGTTTTTCTCTGTTTTTGTGACACATGTTCTCTCTTATCTTGTGACACGCGTTTTCTCTGCTCTTGTGACATGTGATGAAGTGTTGCAGGTCCAACACGATGGCCGGAAGCCGCCGAACGGCGACAACCAACAGTGGAAGAGAAACCAGTAATTAGAGAGTGTGAAAAATACAAATGAAAGAGAAATAGAGTTTTACTAAACTGATAGAAAATATTACAAAAGCCTGTTTCTTAACTCAATATTCAATAGGCATTTATAGCCCTTAATAAGATGCTAACAAACTAACTAATTTCTAACTAATCAAAACAACCTAACTGATAGTTCAACATTCTTCCTGCTTCTTCAATTTTCTTGATCTTCTTCTTCTTAAAAAAAAATCATTGTCCTCATTCACTTATTCGGACTTTCTTCAACTTTCCTCGGTTTTTCTTCTTCTTCTTTTCAAGAGTTGTTTCCTCATCTTAAATGTTCTTCCTCTTCACTTATTGGGACTTTCTTTTTGTTGGAAGCAAGACAGTTAAGCTACGAGCTCCCGGATGCAATCTGAAACCTCTCTTGGGCAAGAAAACACCCTATTTTGTCTGGTTAAGGAAGGCAAGGTTGTTAAACTCTCAACCCTCCCCAGATAATTTTTCTTTCCATGAAACCTTAGCTGTTAAGCCTCAAAGTCTCATATTCACCTTGTGAGAGAAGCAAACAAGTAACAAAGAAACACAAGCTGAGATTAACTGAGCAACCCAAATCTATAGTAGAAATGTCCATAAATCAATAGCAACACCAGCTTAGAACCAAATCAAAATGCAACATACAACATACGTCTGTAATTTGAGAAGCATCACACGTCAACAACACACTAACAGTAGTGATGAACAATTATCACATCTACCAGCATTAACCCAACTTGGAACTCAGATGATCAACATTCAAATATGAAGAACCATGAATCAATATCAGCAGTAGAAATCGCTCATGCATTGCTGCACCAATCTTTGCAGGAAATTCCAATCTTACATTCCCCGGGTTTAATGATGCCAAGGCAGTTTAGACCAATTAACCTGGTTTTTGATTATTGATTCAGGACAGCCTTCACACGAACCATGTCATGTTGAGGAATTCCTTCCGTGATGCAAACAACCAGATCCAGTTCAGCTTCCATAGCCTCCATGATAGCAGCTGCAACACAAGGTGGAGGAACATAAAAGACAAAGGCATTGGCCTTGGTTTCAGCTTTTGCTTCCGCTACTGAATTGAAAACAGGAAGTCCTAACTGCTCTGTGCCACCCTTCTTTGGTGTAACTCCACCAACCATCTTAGTATCATATTCGATGGCTTGCTCGGTGTGGAAAGTTCCATTCTTTCCCGTAATGCCTTGACAAATAACACGAGTATTCTTGTCTACGAAAACCGCCGACAGAGACGCTGGAGCCGCCGAGAAAGCCCGTGACTGGGTCAGAAATTGAGAAGAGGAGGAGAGGGAACTAAGTGGGGGATATCTGAGAAGACAAAGATCGGATGAGTTGTGAGGTTTGTCTAGCCATTACTACTGCTGTTGATTCAGTATTGGATCTCCTTTGCCTCTCTCGCTGCTGTAGAAACCCATAAAATGTACTCCGACTGAGAATGAGGCGACAAAGGAATCTTCGAAGAGATTGAGGAACCCGATCAAAGAACAGAATAGAAACAGTGGAAGAAAGATGACGTCAGGATCTTTGGCGAATGATACCATGATGAAGTGTTGCAGGTCCAACACGATGGCCGGAAGCCGCCGAACGGCGGCAACCAACAGTGGAAGAGAAACCAGTAATTAGAGAGTGTGAAAAATATAAATGAAAGAGAAATAGGGTTTTACTAAACTGATAGAAAAGATTACAAAAGGTTGTTTCTTAGCTCAATATTCAATAGGCATATATAGCCCTTAATAAGATGCTAACAAACTAACTAATTTCTAACTAATCAAAACAACCTAACTGATAGTTCAACAACATGTTCTTTATAGTTTTTTGTACGATTTTCGTATATATTTGCAGTCATTTTGGTACTCGTACAAAAACCATCAAGATATTTATTTTCTGATTAGTTTATCGATGGTCACGTATAGTCAAATCTCCTATTTGATAAAAGGTTATTTGCCGATATTATTAGAATTGTGTAGCAAAGCAACCTGTCAGATTGTTTAGTTCACTCACTATTCCTTTATCACTTCGAAAAGCGTCTCATTCGACAGAGACGATGAATTTTTTTTAAGTTATTGGATTTTGATATTGATCGTTATTCTTTATGGAAGATTTTATTTTTATTCGTATCTTTAGGTTTAATATTTTATTTTTGTATGAAAAATTTAGTAACTATTGTCTTCAATTTTTTTCTTTTTATTTTAATGCATTGTAATTTTGATTCATTTCATTATTAATGAAATTCAATTGTCATTATTAAAAAAACATTTGTCGATAAAAAAACTTATTTAACATAACTTCATGACCTTTTATATAATTTATCTTATAAGTTATTATATTGTAATTAATCTACTATGTATTAATTTCATCAAATACCATTGAATTATGGGTTGAATTCTTCAATTAGTCTTTAAACATTAAAAATGTTTCAATTGAATATTTAAATTAAATTATTATTTCAATAAAATCATTTTGTCAATCAAACCATTATTCTTAGTTTTTTTTTATAAAAATATTCTTAATGTTAAATGGAAATTTTGAATTGATATGTTTAAAATGTGAATTAATATACTAACAATAAATTAATCTAGTGGAGTGAGATACTTAATTTAGTGATGTTCTTCTCATGGACAGACTATCCTCGTGATTGTGCATCATGTCTACCACATCTATTATGATACTTTGTTGAGTCAATCGAACTAATTGAATATCTAAAAGGGGAAGAATTGACGAATAAAAAATTGATGGAAGCTTTTTTTTCTTTTTTGCGAGAAAATAAAAAATTGGACACAAACAATTTTAGATTAGTTCGACTTCCTCAATGGAGTTTACATCCACTATATTAGCTTCTACACTAAGAATTTCAACAAATTCACTAATTTGTCCAAACCTTTTAAGACAATGTGTAACCTTACAACACACTTAGACTTATACCCCAAAGTCTAAAGTTACCCTTCCTAAGAAGAAATTACAAAGAGCAAATGTGGAAAAACTCTCACTATGAATATGTTTATACAATTCAATAACAAAATGAACACTAAACAAATAAAACAAAAGAGTACATAAATGTTATTTGAAAGCAAAAAGAGTATTCAAGAATATTGACTTGATTTTTAACTCAATTTGATTGCTTTGACTTTCTTTATATTCTCTTGTCTTCACATATGACTTAGAATCTTGTTCACATGTGACTTGGAATATTGTTTTTATATCCCTTCATTCAATTCTAATCATTTGGGTTGTTATGGGAGTTAATAAAGTCGTTGGGATGAATTTTTCCCGCAATAAATGCTGCCATACGTCTTGAGTACCGATACTCGGGCTTCAAGTATCGGTACTGCCTGCATTAATTACAAAATTCTAACCGCTGAGAATAACAAAGTATCGATATCGATACTTAGAGAGTATCAGTACGAAAATAACATACTGGAATTTGTTTTGTCAAAAATGTAAAGGGGGTATCAGTATTGGTAGTGGTACTAGTGTATTTTTACACATTATCGGTACTATATGAACAATATCAGTATTTTTCTTGGAGTATCGATACTCTGTTATGAAAAATTGATTTTTTGACTCGATTAGGATCTGAAACTCTTTGTAAAAAACTTTGAAAATTATTTCCAGTAAATGAATTGAGTTTTTCAAAATAGTAAGGAGTAAAAATGGAGTATTTGACTTTAAAAAAAATTATATTCAAATGATTGAATCGAATATAAAATTGAAAAATCATATTAAAATTAATCTTAAAATTTCTTTAAAATTATTTTTATATATCAAAATCTCAAAACATGATTCAACACACTTGACATGAAATCAAACAATCAAGAAATCACTTTAATCAATTTTTTTTAAAAAAAATATGTCCGATAAGATGTGTAATAATATCGCTCTTAAATTCCACAATTTCTAGAATAAGATTAATGCTCCACATAATACTTGATATAAAGAAATATTCTTAGAAGATTAAACATTCATCTGTCACATATATTATTTTTCTCATAGGGCATGATGGTTATCTTATCCATTTCTTAGAAGATGAATTATGTGTATTTCATTCCAACTCAGACCAAAACAAAAGAATCACCTACACCTACACCTATACCTGTACCTGTACCTATACCTATACCCTAATACCCTTGCCCATTTTATCGCCATGTCCTCACCTTATTCATTTTCATCCTTATCCATTTTTATTTGTTCTCTTATTTTTATTATTTTCTAAATTTTATAATCTTTTATTCTTAAATTTTCAATTTAAACAATGTTTTGATTGATATCTCACATTTCTTATCAAATTAAAAACAGAAATTTTAAAATTTTAAGTTCATATATATAAAATAGGCTACTTTACTCAAATTTATTATAACACAAAATTTAGACATATTTTAATTTTCAATATAATGGGCAGGTCGTCTCAAATGATGTGAAGGTCATGTGTTACTTTTAAAAATGAGGCTCCTAAAATATCTTATAATAAAGATTAATTTGTTAAATTTGAAATTATGAGGGATCTACGAGGTTTCTTTTACCAATATTCATCGTGGAAAATGATTGAAGATATTGTCAAAATCTTCATTTATAACTTTCTCTGTCATTTTCTCGAGAATTAAACGAAAAAATTATCTTCCTTCCGAACAAAAATATTCTTAAGGTAAAAATATTATACATAGACGAACCTAAATGACATTCACATGTGAGGTTCATAAATTTTAAGACCTTATAACGAATCACATTCTACAACTTTCATTTGACGGGCCTGAAATTAGGGTGTAAACGAGCCGAGTCGAGCTCGAGTATTGTTGAGTTCGACTCGACTCGAAAACTCTGAAATGAAACTCGACTCAGCTCAAAAACTTGAAAAATTGAAGCCATGAATTGAAGCTCAAAAAAGCTTGAAAAATCTCAAAATGAAAAAAAAAACACTTAACTCGATTGAAGCCTCAAACTCAAACTCGAATATGACCTTAAATACATTAAAATCTTATATTACATTTAAAAAAACAGCACATAAATGTTAAGATTATTGATAATTATTTTTTAAAAATAATAAAATATTAATATATTATAATTTCGAGTTACTCATGAGTTTTTTTGAGTCGAGTATCAAATAGTTCGTTTAGAATCGTTAAGAACTTAAGTCGAGTTCGAGCTCGAGTCAAGTCTATTCGAATCGAGTATTTATGAAACTTTGATCGATTCAATATCGAATAACTCATGATATGTTTCGTTTCATCTACAGCCCTATACATGATAATATAATAACTTCATATCATAATCATCCTACATGCTACTTAGACTAACTTTAGCCAGGCTGCATAGCCCAAATAAAGTAAAAAAAACACTTGATCCAGTTAGATCAAAGCCCAATCCAAGTATACCAACTAATTGTTTATGGTTTTAACTCCACATCTAGGGTTTCTAAAGAAAAATACCTCTATATAAATGATTCAAGCTCGACACTTCTCTTCACCCTCTCACCTTACAAGAAGCAGCCACCAAGGGTATGCTATCTGCTTCTTCGTGTACGTTTCCCAAGTTGTTTCTTATTTGTTTACATTAGTTGTGGAAAGCATTCATGTCATTGTTTGCAAAACTGTTTTCGGTGTCGTTTTCATCTGCACGAACTCTCCCTAGCTTATCTGAATCTGTAACTATGAAGATCAAAGCCCCAATGTTGGTGCTAGATCCATGCCGTTTCACGTGTTGCAGAGTAGCCTTTGCTCATCGACTGGCTCTTCCGTGTCCGGCTTCATCTCTCGTTGTTTTGCCTCACTACACCTTTAGCTTGTTTCCGTTCATGGTTTCGCCTCTAAAAACATCTGATATATCTTCTTTTATTTCGATTTGATTTTTGGAGTCGGCGATGATTAAGTTTAGTTTTATCCGCGCTTCTGAGAGCCAATCAGTGAAGCATATTTACGGTAAAAATGGTTAAAATTCTTTATATGAGCCACTCCACAGCAAGATTTTAGTAAGATTTATGGCTATGATGATTTAAATTACAGCTTATTATGCCAGTTCTGCTTCAGAAAATTCTTGATCGAGAAGCTGAATTGTTCAACTGAGCCTCTGCGATTTTCAAAACAAAATCATAATTTGTTTCTCTTTCTTCTTTATACGGTCCGTGGTGATTTATCCGTTGGTTTGAGATGTAGATTTCTTCAAGCCCTGATTTTCAGGGGAACCCACTTGGGGTGCTACATCATTCATGAAACTACCGGATATTCCTGAGACTTCATTGAAATAAATTGTTCTTTCGTGATGTAGTTTTAGTGAGCCGGTGATGATATAATCCACTTTTGGATGAGGTGCAGTGGAACCAAGAACGAACCTACTTGGAAGAAGCTGCAATACGTTGATATTCAAGGATTCAACTGAGGCTTTCATGTATTGTTTATCTAATGTTTTACATTTTGATCGAGTTTCACTATACCCTGAACCTGATATGTGGTTTGGGGTCTGAAAACTCGTATAGTTATGTTAATTTCGGAGTTAAATAACGGCACAATATCGTTTTTCTTTTGTTAATTTCGCAGGGGATTCTTCTTTGATTGATGTAGTTTGTGTTGTGTTGATGTATACTGTAATTAACAAAGAAATGAGAGTTTCGTTATTTCGCAGGTGCTTATCCTTATTAACCATTTTAATCTTAGAATTTCCGAAGAACTTCCAAATAATGGCCGCAATGAATTCATAATCATTTGCCAGCAGATAAACAATGAGGCAGCATGAGGTATTGATCATTCTACACAATGAAAAAACACATGCCATCTTCATTTACTGGTAGATAGAGTGAGTGAACTCTTAATCAGTCATTTACGCAATAAGCAAACCATTAAGCCTTAACCCATAACAAAGAATTATGGTTCACTACTCAAAACCACACAGTGAAACGATCATTGCCTTAACCCATAACAAAGAATAATGGTTCACTACTCAAAACCACACAGTGAAACGATCATTATTCATCTTTAATTTCATTCCCCTCTCAATTCAATTCACTCTGCTTTTATTCTTCTGGTTCTTGCAGGACTCCATCGTTTCTTCGCGAAAAGCAAGCCTCTTGCCATGCCTGTTACTCTCCTCATCGTTTTCAGTCAAAGACCGCTTTCGAGCAATGCTTGTAGCCAAATTCCTATTGCTTTGATTGGCGATCTGATTGTACCGACTCGCCACCACCCTTCCCTGTTTGGGTGGTGGTTTTTTCGCAGTCACTGATCTTTCACCCTCTTTGAAAAGATTTTTGGGTTGAATTGTAGTAAGAACGCCGTCTTCTTTCTTCACAGCTCTCTTAGACGCCACCGTGGTCGCCGCCGGCCTAGTAACTTGAGCCTTGGATATTGTTCGGCGTGATTTTGGGCTAAGACTCAAGCTCAAGCTCTTGCCTTTCCTGCTTTTAACTTTCTCTTCGTCCAAATCTCGCAGCTTATAGAAACACGATTTGCGGCGGCTCTGCATGGGGGTGGCGAGATCCACCGCACGGTTCAATTTCGTTTTAGCACTCGAAAACAGAGGGGCTTCGATCATCTTCTCGAAATTCTTGGTGCTCTGTTTTTGCACCATGAATTTAGAAGCCACTGTTCTCCCTCTCATCGAAACCCTCCTCGCTTTACATTCGGCCTTTTCGTGTCGGAGAGTTTCGAGCTTCAACGAAAGAAGAGCGATCTCCTTCTCGGTAGCTTCAATCTCCATATCGATCTTCTTCTCATCACGCTTCTCCTCTTCTTTTCTTTTGAAAGAAACACAGGATTTTAGGCAAGGCGGGCTCAGGTTTTCTTTACCACAATCGGATTCTAGTGACCGGTTCACTGGTACGGATTCAATATCAGAAAAAGAAATCTTGATGGTGGTTGTATCTTCGGATCCTCCGTCGTCGAATGCTTCGTTGTTCCAAACGTGAAGCGTCGACACATTGACCAAATCTGGGTATTGAAGAAGACTCATCTATCGCGCTTTCGATCAAGAACTGCTCCAAGAAAAACGAAAATCAACTGCGGATTTGAATGTACAAAAATTACGAAGAATTCAATCAAAATTTTCTAAGCTTTGAAGAAGATATTCTTTTTTATCAATAAGCTTTGAAGAATTTAGGGTAACTGGGTAAGAGCGACGGAGAAGAGTAATTGGAGAGATATATATGACCGTTGGACAAAACTAGTCGTTAGGCGGCTGAGAATATGAGCCGTTAGATCATAAGGGAGCTCCCACATGCGCTCCGATTTTGAAGTAATGATTTTAGTCTATAAAAAGAAAGTGAAATTTAAAGTAGAGAACATGAGAGTATTTGATGAATTGTTTCAATTAATTTTCAATTTAGTTAGCAATAATTTGAAATAAAATAATATATATTAAATAAGGGTAAATTATGCATTTATTATCTAAATTAATTTTGATTCAATTTAGTACCTAAATTTTTATTTTAAAAAAAAATCATACCTAACGTTTAGTTTTTGTTTCATTTTAGTAACCATCATTAAAAACGTAACGGACGGGCTTGTCGATCGTCTATAATCTTCGGTCGTCGCATCTATCGACCGATGAAGCTCAAATCATTACTTCGGATCTGTCCACCGGGGCTATGTTACGGCAACCCATCCATTAATTTTTTAATGGTAAGGTATTAAAATGAAACAAAAACTAAATGTTAGGTATGATTTTTAAAAAATAAAAGTTTAAGTACTAAAACTAAATGTTATGTATGATTTTTAAAAAATAAAAGTTTAAGTACTAAAACTGATGTTTAGATACTAAACACGTAGTTTATGTTAGGAAAATAAACCGAGTACAAGTAATTTCCCTATAACCAGATTAGTGAGAATGCGAAATAAAAGCGGAAAAATAATACCCGAAAATTGATAACGGAGTTCAGCCAATTGTGCTTACGTCTCCGGGCTGCTGCAGATCTTTTACTAAGAGAGAAAATTTACAGGTGTTTACAAAACACTCACTACTCACAAGAAAGCTCTCTAGTATAGGAAGAAAGAAATGTTTTGGGATGATTTTGAAGCTAAATGGGTAAGGGTATTTATAGTAGAAACTTAGGGACTAATCTTTGAAAATACCCTAAAGTGCAATGACTAAAGTGAATTTACCCATTCCTATTTTCAACAAACATCTACCAAAATTTTACCAAACTTTGAAAAACATTTTTCAAAGAAACATTTACCAAACTTTGAAAAAAACATTTTCCAAAGTTGGTTGCCAAACTTTGAAACTTTTAACAATCTCCCACTTGAAGACTGATTTTAATATGTCTTCACACCTCGATCAATGCAGCAGCATGTCTGGTCTTGTTATTCTAGCATGCCAACTGAAGTTGAACACAACTTCAGTTTATCCGTAGTCACCGTCTTTGTCAACATGTCTGCCGGATTTTGAGCTCCACTAATCTTTTCAAGTTTCAAAATCCCATCTTCCAGAAGAGACCGGATAAAATGATATCTCAATTGTATGTGCTTTGTCCTGGAATGAAAAGACGGATTCTTTGCTAGATGGATAGCACTTTGACTGTCGCAATACAAGATATTGTTTTCTTGTTTCTTGCCTAACTCTTCCAAGAAACTTTGGAGCCAAACCATCTCCTTGCTGGCTTCCGTAACAGCGACATATTCTGCTTCAGTTGTGGAGAGAGCAACTATCTTCTGTAGTTGAGAAACCCAACTCACTGCAGTTCCTCCTAGAGTATAGACATACCTTGTAGTGCTCCTTCTGATGTCGACATTTCCGGCTAAGTCAGCATCTACATGGCCTGTCAGTATCATATCTCCACCTTTGAAACAAAGTGCTTTGTTTGTGGTACCCCGAAGATATCTGAGGATCCATTTGACTGCTTCCCAGTGTACCTTGCCCGGATTATTCATGTACCTGCTAACAGCTCCCACTGCATGAGCAATATCTGGTCTGGTACAAACCATGGCATACATCAGACTTTCAATTGCTGAGGCATACGGCACCTTCACCATGTGTGCACGTTCTTCCTCCGTCTTTGGTGATTGGTCTTTGGAGAGTCTGAAATGAACACCTAAAGGTGTACTTACTGGTTTAGCATCTTGCATGTTGAACCTGGAGAGTACTTTGTTGATGTACTCAGCCTGTGATAACATCAAAGTCCCCGACTTTGTGTCTCTCTTGATACTCATCCCAAGAATCTGCTTTGCAGCGCCCAGATCCTTCATAGCAAACTGCTTCGACAATTTTTGCTTCAAGTGTATAATCTCTTGCATGTTTGAGCCTGCAACGAGCATGTCATCAACGTACAACAATAAAATAATGAAACTATTATCGAACCTCTTGATGTAGCAACAATGATCTGCTTGGCATCTGGTAAAACCACTGCTACTCATGAAACTATCGAACTTCTTGTACCACTGTCTAGGAGCTTGTTTTAAACCATACAAGCTCTTCTTCAACCTGCATACCAGGTTTTTCTTGCCTGCCTCTATGAAGCCTTCTGGCTGCCTCATATAGATCTCTTCCTCCAAATCACCATGAAGGAAAGCTGTCTTTACATCTAACTGCTCGAGATGTAAATTCTCCGCAGCTACAATTTTCAACACCAGTCTGATTGTAGACAGTTTTACGACTGGAGAGAAAATTTCATTGTAGTCAATACATTCTTTTTGCTGAAAACCTTTGACAACCAATCTTGCTTTGTAGCATTTTCTCCCATCATGTTCTTCTTTGATCCTGTAAATCCACTTGTTATGGAGCGCTTTCTTGCCTGGTGGTAATTCAGCTAATTCCCACGTCTGATTTGACATAAGCGAGTCCATCTCATCTTTCATGGAAGACTCTCACTTGAATGAATCCTCCACCTGCATTGCTTCATCATAGCACTCTGGTTCACCATTGTCAGTCAGCAACAAATAGTGCAAAGAAGGCGAATACCGTTGGGTTGGTTTAGGAATTCTGGAGGAGCGTCTCAGTTCTGGTGTGTGTGGTTCTTCTTGAACTGCTTCAGGATTGATCTGAACATCATTTCCTGAAATATCCTCGAACTCAGCAAATTCCTTTGTTTCAGCTTCGGTATTACTTGATTCTGCGGTTGACCTATCTTTGTACATCACATTTTCATTGAAAATGACGTCTCTGCTTCTGATGATCTTTCGATTTTCGTAGTCCCAAAATTGGTAACCGAACTCATCACCACCGTAACCAACAAAGACGCATTTGTTGGACTTGGCATCAAGTTTACTTCTTTCAGCAGAGTTTATGTGTACATAAGAAATACAACCAAACACTCTTAAGTGTGAAATGTTTATTTCTTTCTTGCTCCAAGCTTCCTCTGGTATTCCGCCATCCAAAGGAACTGAGGGCCCACGGTTGATCAGGTAAGCTGCAGTGTTGATAGCTTCAGCCCATAGAAATTTGGGCAATCCGGCATGTATCCTCATGCTTCTGGCACGTTCATTCAGAGTTTTGTTCATGCGCTCTGCTACGCCATTCTGCTGCGGTGTTATGGGAACTGTTGTCTCCATCTTGATCCCATTGTTTGCGCAGAAATCTCTGAAACTACTGTCTCTGTACTCTCCTCCAATGTCAGACCTCAACCGCTTGACTTTCAAACCAGTCTCATTTTCCACCATGGCCTTCCATTTTCTGAAGGTATCAAAGACTTCTGATTTCTTCTTCAGAAAATAAACCCACACATTCATTGTTGAATCATCGATGAAGGTGACATAATATAGTGAGCCTGCAAGAGATGGAACAGGGGATGGTCCCCATACATCAGTATGAACCAATTCTAACCTTTCTGCCTTGGGAGTCTTGTCAATCTTTGTAAAACTGTCTTTCTTTTGTTTTCCAAAGATACCATCCTCGCATAGTCCGACATCTACATTCTTTAGATCCGGCAGCTTCCCTTTTGACAGAAGTATCTTCATTCCTTTCTCGCTCATATGGCCGAGCCTTTGGTGCCATAGGTTTGATTTTCCATCAGCATCTGCTACTGCAATGATATTCTCTAAATTGGAGGTTACATAGAGAGTACCAGTCTTCTTACCACGAGCAATGACGAGTGCTCCTTTGGTAATCTTCCATTCACAGCCTGAAAAAGTTGTACTATATCCTTCTCCATCAAGCTGCCCAACAGAAATCAGATTTCTTTTGAGGCCAGGAATATGTCTCACTCCTGTCAGCTTCCAAGTGGTCTGGTTTGGCAGTTTTAGTCGGATGTCTCCTTTTCCGACGATCTTCAAGGTTTCATCATCAGCTAGATGAACCTTCCCAAAATCACCACTGACATAGTTCTCCATGATTTCTCGGCATGGGGTGGAGTGAAAAGATGCCCTTGAATCCAAGATCCATGATTCAATCGGACTGTTGATGCTTAAAATCATGGCATCACCTGTCTCCTCCGTCATGTTGGCAGATTCCTGTGCGCCGGTATTTTTCTTCGGTGCTCGGCAATCTCTTTTGAAGTGACCCTTCTTGCCGCAATTATAACATGTAAAATCTTTATTTCCTGTTCTTGATTTGCCCCTTCTGGATTTTGATCTTCCACGATTTGAATTTCTTTCTGAAGTTCTCCCTCTAGACTCCGTGTGCAAGGCTGAGGAGGTTGATGCTTCACCCGATTCTCTTCGTCAAATTTCTTCACTCAATACCAGATCCCGAACATCGTCGAATTTTAATTTGTTGTTTCCCGACGAACTGCTGACTGCTGTAACAGTAGCATTCCAACTGTCTGGTAGAGATGATAAGAGAATTAAAGCTCGAACTTCATCATCGAAATCAATTTCCACTGAACTCAACTGGGTTGTGATTGTGTTGAGTTCATTTAGGTGTTGTACCACCGATGCCCCTTCCGTCATCCGCAAATTGAATAATCGCCTCATCAAATGAACTTTGTTTGAGGCTGATGGCTTCTCGTACATACTGGAGAGAGCCGCCATAAGACCCGCCGTGGTCTTTTCCTTTGCTATGTTAAAAGCAACATTGCGGGA